CTCGAGCTCCGCTCTCCTGGAGAGCCCCTCTGTCCTTCAGGAAGTGACCGAGACCCCTCTGGCCTCCGCCTCGAGCCCTGCTCCTGACCCCGCGCCCCCGGACGACCCGGTGACCCAGGGCGGGCCCGGGACGCCGCGGGGGGACGCTGCGGGAGGACGCAGCGGGCCCCTCGCCCGGCTCCACCCGCGGGGCCTCGGCTCAGCCGGGGATGGCGGCGCCCCCCGGGTCTGCCACGTCCAGCCGGTCTCGCAGCGCCGAGCTTCTGGGGACGGAAGAGACCACCTCGGAGCCTTCCGGCTCAGGGAGCTCGGCTGGGCCTCAGAGAACAACGGCGCGCCAGGACAGGGTAGCTCCGAGCCAGGCCGCACGCCCGAGACCGCCGGCAGCCGGCCAGAGCCTGAGACAGGTGCCCGCCCACTCGCGTCGCTGGGGGTTGGGGACACCGCCCTGGCGCCTGGGTCTCCCTTTGGGGAGACCATGCCCTAGTTTCCATTACCCGGCCACAAGTCAGGGAGGTTGAGGGGGTGAGGGTATGTGCTGGGCCACATCTCCCGGCCCCAGGTGCATTCCGGATCACTCCATGGGGGATCCTAGAGCCAGTTCACCCCCTCATCCTCCCCCTACATAATAATTCAGGGTGGGGCGATCTAGGGGAGAAAAACCTATCTTTGGCTAGAGGAGTCTTTCAGTCAAGGGTTGGAATGCTGGGTCTTCTACTTACCGTGTGGTCTTAGGCAAACTTCCTAACCTCTCCGAACTTCATTTTTCTCATTTTTTTTTTCTTTTTTTTTTTTTTAGTGGTGCGCGGGCCTCTCACTGTTGTGGCCTCTCCCGTTGCGGAGCACAAGCTCCGGACGCGCAGGTTCAGCGGCCATGGCTCACGGGCCCAGCCGCTCCGCGGCGTGTGGGATCCTCCCGGATCGGGGCACGAACCCACGTCCCCTGCATCATTTTTCTCATTTTTAAAGTGAAGAGAAACACCAAATGTCAAGAGTTATCTTTCAGTGCCTGGCATCAATGAATGGTAGTTATTACTATTCTAGTCTCAATTCAGTAGTGAAATGTTTAGTAATTCAGTCTCCCATCTGTCCTTACCTTATTCAATAGACAAGGTTGGCCTCAGTCTCATTTTATTAATTACAAATGATTATGAATGATCACAATTATGAATTATTAAGGTTGTGAAATCTCACAGGGCAGGGGCTGTTTTGTTTTATGCCTCTTTATATCTTTCCCAGGCCTAGAATAGTGTTTTGCACACTGGTAGATGATTTAATTCAACAATCATTTCCTGAGTACCTGTTTTGAACAAGGCAGTGGATACCAAGATGAGTAGGACCTGCTTCCTGTCTTTAAAAGAGCTTAGTCTAATAGGGGCTAATAGAGACAACCAGGACAGTTTAATTAGTGCTGCCGCAGAAGGGTGAACCAAGAGGCTTGCCAAGAAAATGACTCATTTATTCTGCCTGGAAAGGTGGTGGTAATTGGACAAAAGGTAATGGAGGATTTCATCAGGCAGCAAAGGCTAGAAGGTTCTTCCTGGCAGAGGGAACAGCATGGGCAAAGATAGGTAGATGTGGAAATGTGTGGTTTGGGAAAGACAAGCAGTCTGATGTGACTGGAGTGTCGGTCACATATTCGGGAAGGAAGCGGCAAGTGATGAGGGGAAAGAGGTAGACTGAGGCCAAATTCTGAAGGACTGGATCCTGCAGTCAGCACAGCCATCAGAGGTTTTTAGCAAGTGAGCAAAATGGTCAGCTCTGTAGTCAATAGAAGCAAGGTGGTTTTAATGACACCTTGGGGCAATGCCTGTAACAGGATGCTAAAGGAAAACATGATTCAACATTATACATATAACACAGTCACAATAATGTTGAAAGGAAACATCAACCTATACTTGGGAAAAGAAGATTGTAAAGAAATGTGTGAAAATGTTAACAATGGTTAAATTCAGGCAAAAAGAATATGAGTGTTTCCCCCTTTCTGTGCTTCTGCATTTTACAAACTTATTTATTTCACTGAAGAAATGTACAATGCTTTGGGTGGAGTAAGAAGAGGGCATTTTGGAGAGAAGACACAGGAAGTGTATGTGTGGGGAAAGACTTGCACGGTCCGGGAGAGTGGAACCGAGGCCAGATCTGGAGCAGTGGAGCAAGGAGGGACATGAGGGAACTGATTTTACATCGTTTGCAAGTGACATTAATTGAAGAAATATAAATACAAACACATTTTAAAAAATGCTCAGCTTTGTTCATTGAATCATAGCAGTGCAAATTAAAAGCAAGATGCATTAAAAAGTTCTTTGTTTTAACTTAGCAGTTTGGCAAAGATCTGGGGTGATAATGCTGATAAGAATGTGAGAAAATCAGCACTGTCAGACACTGGATAGCACAGTAAACTTGTGCTACCATTCTTGCAATGCCTGTTAGTTCCGAAATGTGCATACTCTTTCATACAGAAATTCTGCCCTTGGAAATTTATTAAGGAAATAATAGTACAAGGTGCACATACACATATATACGTGTCCTCCACACACAGGTTGTTTGTTGCAGCATTGTTTATTACAGTGAAAAACTGGAGGCAATCTAATGTCCATTGAAAGCAGATTGATTAAATAAGTTACGGTACATTCAGTGAAATACTATGCAGCCTTTAAAGAGAATAAGGTAGATCTCTACGCATTCAAATTAAAAAATTCAAGTGTGTGAAAGATATTCTATAGCAAACTGTTAATAGTGGTTGTCCCTGGGTCAGGGGAGGGGATACTTCTGCTTAAATATTTTACAGTAATATACCACAAGAACAATATGGTTCAAATATTCCATATTAAAAAAAAAAAAGACATCTGCAAGGCACTGACAGGACTTTGGTGACTGAACGTGACAGCAAGTGAGAGGGAGTAAGGGAGCAGCTGGAGAGCCTCAGTAGACGGGCACCATAAAGGGGGTGAGAAGGCTGCTGGGGGAGGCTGAGCTTGGTTTTGGAATACGTACTTTGAGTTTGAGGTGCTACCCCTTGATGGAGAGGTTGGGGGTTCCTGGGTGCCATGGTGGGGGCCCTGTGTAGCTAGCAGACTACATAAGGGCACTGGGCCTCTTGGGGTAGGAACTGCTGAAAATAAACACTCACTCCTGAGGAGATATCTTATAATATTGCTAAGCCCCACAAATCCTGGTATCAGAGACACTTTATGAGAGATGATGCTGTAGCTACCGGGTACATGAGCCTATGGAGGTAAGTGAAGGATTGGCAGGGACTGAGCGTCCCACCCCGGATGGTTTCTGCAGGATGGTGGCTGCCCGTGCCTGTCTTCTAGCTCAGGGGCAGTCACCAATCTCAGACCACCTTGCTTCTGGCTGTATTTGCAATAACTCCTTTATTTTCCCCTCTTGTAGCTGTGACCAGTGAAAGGAGTGGCACTGATATAACAGATGCAGCTATTGCCACTCAGGCCCAACATTTGAGCTCATCTAATCACCCAGATTCTAAAGAAAACACTCTAGCACCAAAACCAGGTAACTGCTTCTGGTTACCAAGTTCCCACTCTTAACAACCAGGCAGTTAAATCTGGACAGCCACTCCTTAGCATAGGGTGCTCAAGACCTTTTTGTGAAAGACAGCCTGAAATGGGAAGGGAACAAGGATGAGGATCCTAGAGTTGGTTAGCTCCCTGGCGATTGTGAAAGCTCCGGGGGCATGTTTCCTTCCTTCAGAATCTCCTCTTTCTCATATGCAAAAGGGACGTAGTAAAAACGACCCTGCCTACATCACAGGGTTGTTTCAAGTACCCAATGAGATAATTATGCAAAGGTACTTTATAAACTATAAAATGCTGTACAGATATAGAGTAGTCCTATTATGAGGCTGTAGTTCCTGTGATTACAGCGTTCATGGCCAAAGGCTGAGCCTGTTTATAGTCTCAGAGAACTTAAGAGTTTTCTGTGGTACAGTTGGCCTTTACAAATGTGGGTCCAGGGGAGAGGTGAATATTTCCAGCATGGTGTGGGACATTTACTCAACAGATTTATTAAAAGGAAGAAGCAAGAATTCCCTGGCAGTCCAGGGATCGATCCCTGGTTGGGGAACTAAGATCCTGCAAGCTGCGTGGCATGCCAAAAAAAAAAAAAAAAAAAAAAGAAAAGAAAAGAAAAGGAAGAAGGAAAATACTGAGGAGAAAATAATTGCCTGAGGGTGGCCAGGATATGGGAGGAGAGCAGTGGTTACTCCACTCATGAGACTCTTTCCTGTCAGCCACTAGCTGGTTGTGGCTGAGCATTTTTCTGTCCAGCAGTTTCTTCTTTCTTTTTGAAATCCTAAATCACCATGTAGCATCTATGGTGTCCAGGGGACACTCCCGACTGCCAAGAACTTGAAGTTTTCAAATGGCTACGAGATAATCTCCTCTGAGCCAGGTAGTACTTCCTTTTTCAGGGCAACTCTTTGGAATCCTGAAAGCAGATTTTCTTATCCCAGTTCTGATGCACCCAGAAGACATGAAAGACCAATTCTTGAGTGAGGTGAGACTTCTCTGTCCTCTAATTTTGATCAGTCAGGTGACTTGACAATGCAAAGCGATACTGTCAAAGCCAATACAGGAAGAGAAAAAGCTTTGGAAAATTAGCTCATCTGTTCCCATTGTCACCATCCTGGCTCATGGTGACAGGTTGGTTTATGTGCTCAGATCTTTTCTTACTCTCTCCATTTTTCCTGAGCTCTTAAAAAAATCAATACAGCATAGTCAGAAGGACCTAAGTTTGGGTCTTGGCTTTGAGCTTATTAGTTGTGTGACCTTGAGCAAGTAACTTAATCTTTCTGAGCCTCAGTTTCCTCATGAATTAGGAACAACAGTACCTAACTCATATCGCTGGTATTATGACAAAATGAAATATTCCATAAAAAGTGCTTAGCAAATTGGCACATTGGAAGTGCTCAATATATATTAGCTATTATTATTATCTTATTATTATTCTGAATATACATTTGTTCCAGGCTTTTTTTCCCCTCTTGTTTTTTTTAAAGTATTGTGAGATGAGAGATTGTGAAGAGGAAGAATTATTCCTAAATATTGTGACAAAAGCCTCAAGCTGATTTTTGAATATGACCTAAAGGCACATTTTTCAGTGATATCAGATTATAATCATAAGATGTCAGAGCTAGAGAGTTCCTCATAGCCCATCTAGCCAAAACCACAATTTTACAGACAAGGAAACTGATTGGCGTTAATCTGGTAGCTTATTGCAATTTACTCATAGGCCAAAGAAATAGCACCCAGGCAATTCATTCTAAAATCTCACAAACTGAAGTCTCTAGGAAGAACAGGGGTGTGTGTGTGTGTGTGTGTGTGTGTGTGTGTGTGTGTGTGTGTGTGCGCGCCCGTCCGCATGCATGCACAAATGCCTGCCAGGTAGCGGGGAGGGAACTGGAGAGCTTTCGGTGCATTTTGCTGTTGAAGAGCAGGTGCAAATGATGCAATTTGGCATCTGATAAATTTTTTAGTAAAAGTTCAAGTAATAAGACTGCAGTGCTGAGTATTAAGTCTACAAAAGTCAAGAACCGTTTTTTTTTTGGCAGGGGTGGGTTACCAAACCAGAAACCATCTACCTTTTATTTTAAATTAAAACCAATAATGGGAAAATTGGGGTCAAGATGGGGAGTTCCAGCTTCTGGTCACTTTTGTTGGAATATAGCTATCTCATATTAATGGAGAGGATTTCTACCTCACAGATATAAAGGATGGAATTGGTGGGGACAAGGTAGAGTATATTATCAGCTTTAGTAGCATTTACTGATAAAATTTGAAATAGGAGGCAAACAAAACACCTATAGCCAACTTATCCCAGTTCCATGGATGGGAACAGAGAAAACATTGTAACAGACACTCACACAGTGCTCAGAGAGAGATATGGACTAGTGGTTGTTAACCCTATCTGAACTTAGAATCCTGTGGGGAAGGTTAAAAAAAAAAAAAAAAAAAAAAAGCCGGCCCCAATCTTTAGAGAGATACTATTTAATTGTTCAATGGTGGGTCTAAAGGGGCATCTCTACTCTGATTTTTTCAAGATCCCAAGTGATTTTGATGAACAGTCAAGACTGAGAATCCCTGATTGTCATTTGTTTTAGTCTCCTTTGTCATTAAACATTTTTTGTGTGCTGGGGGTGGTGGTGGTGACCTAACAAACTTGATTTCTGTACTTTCCTATTGGTGAAGGTGCTAACGACAAAAGGCAGGTAGCTGCAGGGAGGCTAAGAAAAATAAAGGGTATGGCTGGACATAAAGGGTGGACAGTTAAGGGCTAAGATGACTAGGAGGTTACAAGATAGCATCAACAACAGTTTCTCTCTTTTTGATGTTTCAGATCCAAGAAGTCTTAAAGCTTACATTAGGTCATGAGCAATTCAGATTGAAATGGGTTGGCTTTGAAGTAAACAAAAAATAGCACACATCTACTGTGACCTGGAGTCTCCTCACACAATTTTCTCTGGATTTTGAGTGAATTTTAGTTTTTTAATTCATAGTAAAACAGAAGTAGAAGTCACTAGATATGTGAAGAGGCTAACTGGTGGAATTTCAGACCTATACTTAGCCTGTAAGAAAACTACTTATGGGACCTGCATCCTGGGGTTTTAAAGAATGAAGGAAAGCAGAAGATGGGGGTATTTGGAAATAACCTCGAGAATTACAAGCAAACAAGAACAAAAAACCCCAACTAGACAACAAAAATCCTGAAACAAACCACATTAATCTATTGGGGAATTAAGAGAGGATAGTACTGGTCTGGAGAGCTGAGTGGGGCCATACTTTCAATAAAGTGGAGGACATTTTCTTCACCAGTCACAAGCTAGTAAAGAGATTTCCAACTCTCCAGAATGACGAGCTCTCTAAGGGTGTTATTACAATACAGTATGTGTTAATGCTAGCTCTTTGTCCTACAGCTAAATACTTTTACCTGTAAATTGGGAAATTCTAAGACGCATTGTTCTTAATGTTAAAATATACCTTCAGAATAATGTTCCTGCATACATTTTGTTTCTGGTTTTTCTCCAAGTGTCCTAATCACCCAGATAACATGCTAGAAGTCAAACAGTAATATGTCAAATACAGTAGCAACTTTAGTCTGAAATGTTTAAAGTTAAAGTTTATTTGTATTCTTTGTAGGAATATCAATAAAAGACCTCAAACGTATCTATATCTGTACATGTACAAGAACCGTCAAAAATTATTCACAGAACAAAAATAAATCTTCTTTTAGAACAAACCCAGGTAATGAAATGCAGATATGGATCTCACATATGGAACAATCTAAGTGCCACTAGCACAAAAATATGGCTTTAAAAATAAAATAAAATCTTGGGTTTTGTTTTTCTAATGTGTATTTCTCTTTCTTGAAATAAAAAATAAATTATTTAGAGCTATCATTGTAAAATAGTCATGTGTATTAACACACTCTTATTAAGGCCCTGGAGATGAAAAACAAAATCAAATTTAGAAGTTCCTCACAGGTGTGATTCAGGTTAATGGGCTGCTGTCTGCTTTGAGTTAATTTTAATGTAACTAGGAAATGTCTAAGCACCAGTCAAAATTTAACCTGTACTATTTATTTCAAATTTTCTGCAGGATAGTGGTCAATTAGTATTTAACCTTTTGGTGAACAGGGAATTGAATTTTTTCCCTTGGGAGTTTAGAAGTGACATAAATATGATAGTTATTCTTAAATATTTGTAGCCCCACACAGATGATCGAGGCCCCTAAAACACAGCTTCTGTGGAAATCTTTCTACAACAGATATATCTGGTTTTAAATCCCAAACTAAAACATTTCCTAGGGAAAAACAAGGGCACTGAAAAATAAGAACTGAATAGGAAATTAAAATGCATGCTGAAATCTGGACACAAACGACCACTTGGCTTTCCTTGGGTGGCTCATCGCCAAGCCTTGCTGGGTTGGTTCCTCAAACACCTGAGGATTAACTGATCAGGAACCAAAGCTATTTCTTTCTGTATCCTACTGCCGCATCAGTGATATTCAACTTTCTTTCTGTGACTCCCCAAGGTATCAATAATGATATCTAGGGTTCTTGAGACAATGTCAAGCCAAATTTCAAGTCACTTTAACTTATATATACATATAACACATATGGTACATTTTAAAGAGGAAAGAACCACTGTCATAAAATCTAACAAAGGAGAGCATAAAATCTAAAAAATCTCAAGGAAGTTTGGGAATCACTGCTCTATAAGATGGATTAACATTCAGAAAAAGGAAGCCCTAGGAATCGTGTGTTTTGTGTGGGTACCCACATGTTGTCTACAGAAATGGCCTTTCTATATATCTACGTATTTCGAGATTGGGCAAAGGATATAAATCCTCCTGTTGCCTTGAACCATTGGGCTATGGAGAAGGCTGCTGTGCATTAGTCCCCTTTTGGATCATGTATCTTCCTCAGGTTCTTTCACTCCTCATAAGATATTTATTCTGTCTCATGCAAATTTCATCACTTTTGTCCTTCCTAAACTCAAGAGCATTCCTAACTGGGTCATGACAGAATGCTTCTAGAACTAATAACAATCACTCAGACACAAAAAGGGATTCTATTTAAAAATTCAACACCCCAACATATCTTGCTTTTAAACAAACTGGCAAAATAGGTCCCTTCCATTGACATATTGATAAAAACAAAGTATCCCAAATTCTTGGCCCTCAGGTAAGGGGTGGGAAGGCAACCATTTACTGTTGAAGCGAGCAGGAGACTTCACTATCAGACTTGAAAAAGGGAAGGGGAATGGAGAAGAAAGCCCTTTTGGTTTTCCATAATCTGTAGACGGTGACCCCCACCCCCCCCAAAAAGGTGAAAACACAGGGAAGTTATGGTGTGGGCTCCAGAGCTGCTGAGTCAGGCCCAGTGACAAGCCTAGTCTGGTGTCAACTCTAGTCAGGGTCACATGGGCCTTAGGTAAATCCCAAGGAGGGTTCCTTCCCCAAGTTCAGTCCCACAACCAGCCTTCTCAGAAACTCCAAACTGGACGTAACTGGAACTAAACCTAGATGGAAGGCAGAACAAATTGTAATCAAACTCACTTGATGGCAACTGTCTTGCTCTGGAGCTTCCAAAAAGGAACTGCTCTCAACCCAGTGTGCCTCTGAGGACAGAGTGAGAAACGAGGGTCGCTAGAGCTACAGATCCATAAATAGACTAAGATCTAAAAAGCTTTACTTTTAAAGTCAAGTTAATTCTCAAGGGCATACAGCAGTCCTAGACAGGAAATCCTACTTTTTCTTTCACTGTGCAACACCATTACAGGGAAAGGGAAAGGTAGAAGCAGACTAGAGAAAGCTAATTTTGACCAACTCAATGCCAAGTGAAAGGGCAAAGTTACAGCAGCATGATGACCTCATTTTACCACATTTCCCTTACAACAGACTGCCCTGGACCCCAACAGTATCTTGGTGATAGTGCCTGGATCATAGTAAGTGCTCAAGTGTTTGTCATTGTTACCTAGTTATAATCTCCCCTCCTTCATGGCTTGTATTGCAGAGACTCAGGTAATGTGATGACTTGAAGGAAATGTTACTCCTTTTTGCTGCTTTGGCTCAGAAAGCTTATTGCTCCAGTGAAAATAAAATGGAAATATAAAGCTTTTTTCCTAAATCCTACCAACATTGTCCTTGTTAATGGCCAAATCTGGTTGTCATCTGGACAAGCATTTTGCAAGCACTTCACGGGAATTCCAAATTCCATTCAGCCTTGGTCTATGCTGCACCCCACCATGTGGTGACATGTTGGGTGTCAGAAGGAGTGCAAGACATGCTATCATAATCCACCCACTTCTCTTCAACCATACACCTCCTCCCAGCAAGAGAGGTATGCACTTATCTGGGCTGAAGAAAAGCCAATTAAGCAATACCTCCATAAAAATTATCAGCTGTTGCTGACTTTTTCCATACTAAAAAAAAAAATCTTTCAGAATAAGTTCTATAGACTGCAGCATTCTCTAAAGAAATACTCAGAAAAATATTCGGACAGGAATAGGTTCAAAGGATAATCTAAAATTTAACATCTGGCAACTACACTGAACTCCTAGCTTACCTCTAATTTTATTATTTGTTTACTCTTTTCTCTTCATTCAAGATAACCTGATAATAGAGGGCTGCATAATCTATCCAAACATTTTGGGCATCTAATCTTCCAAAGTAGGCAGCCCTCTAAGAAGCTCCCATAATGCTGACAAGATGTACTGCATCCATCAAAAACATATTTGATTTTGTGTCCTCCAACCCTCCAATATAGTTTATCAGTCCTCTGTCATCCGTAAACACCACCTGAGAGCTTTCAAACCTCCGTGTAAGACATCACCCATGTTACATACTTAAGGCCACTGAAACTGACCATTCTTTTACCAGGTTTTCTGAAGACTTTTATAAAGAATGGCTAGAGCTGAAAATAGCCACAAACAAGAACGGACCTATGTTTACATACCCTCTCCCCAAACACGAAGCACTACTTCAGAATTGGTGATGTTTCTTTCCTATTAAAATAAGTCATTTGGCCACAGTGTGCCCTCAGCTTGGAGGGAAGAGAGAAGAATTTGTAAAATAATGATCACGGGTCAAGAAAATGCACAAGTGCCAATACATGTGGGCATGAAGTCTGCAGATCAGATAAGCACACTGGGCAGCTCCTGATTTAGATCTCTGACTGGCAGAAACAGGAGTGTTACGAAGGGGAAATGTTTTAAAAGGTTGTGGGCTGGGGACCATGGTGAGGTTGCTGAGATGCAAGGCCCAACACAAAGACCCACCTGAGGGCAGTGCTTAAGAGGTCAGAATGCAAGCCTGGGGGTGCGGTGGGAATGGAGGTTTGGTGTCTCTATCGGGGCTTCACCCAAAAGGGGACACAATAAATGTTCTCTCGTCTCCTTATAAGTATTCTGCTATGTGGAAACACTCACTCCAGGTCTATGGCTTCCTCAGGTGTTTTTTTTTTCCCCCTCCTTTCTCCTTTTCCTTCTTAAAAAAAAATTCCTTAAGGTTTACAATTTCAACTAAACATCATTAACTTACTTGAGAAATGTTGTTGCTTTCTCAATATAAACAATTGCTTAGATCTTGCTTAAAGAGATTCTAACCCCTTTAAACATTATATCCAACAGCATAGAAGGCAGGAACTTTTCCTATTTGTGCAGTTATATGTACATATGTGTGAGTATATGTGTATATATACTTGTAAATATAATATCTGTTTAACTTGTAACATTCCATACTTCTGATAATCAAGGTTGCATTCAAGATGACATTTCACACCTCTGGAAAAAAGGAAGTAACTTAGCTTCCATGACTGTTTCTGTCCTACAATAAATCTGTCCTACAATAAAGCCAACGATGACAGCTAGTGAAACTGGGTTATTCTTGCCAAATCTACAAAGAGCATGGGAATAACAGCTGGAATGTGCTGTCCTCCCACTTTTAGTATTTTATTTTTCATTAAGAGTAATCATGACTTTTAAGAGAGCAATGCTTCAGATTTGGATTTCTTTTCCAAATTTTACTGAGGGGATTAGAGGAAGAAGCAATTTAAAAGTTAAAGACTGAGATAAAATTACCCTGCCCAGAGATCTGCTAGTACACTGGGTAAAATCTTTATCCCAAACCAAAATTATAACTTACAAATAGAAAAAAATTTTGATAGGAAATATTCAGAGATTGCTGCCATGGTATGGTATGGTTAGCCCTTTTCTGTATGGAAGAAAGGGTGTTTATTTCGGATGGCTTATGGACAGCATATTTGAATAACCTCTCCAGGGGAGAGTAAACCCTGTTGGTGATGACTGCTCCCACCATGGGGGAGGAAAGGGCAAGTGGGTGTGAAGATGCAGATGGTTTATAGAGACACAAATATTTATAGTTTTGTAAACTCTAAAGAGGAAGAAGAACACCCTTTATTACAGCTGGGGTAAAAAAAAAAAGCCCCCTATCTAAAATGGAAAATTCCCGTCTGCTACAGACAGAAGGAAATAAACAGCAACAGGAGTTCAATAGAAATCACTCTGAAAGTCCAGTTTTGATACAACAGCTCTTATCTGTGTCCTCTGGAACAGTGTATCCCCAAATCAGATAGCTGTCCATCCAGAACCAGTCTTCGTTGCTCAATGGGATAAACTGTTTTGTTTGGATCTCGGTATTTGCATGTTTTCCTAAAGGACAAGGGAACCAGAGTGGGGTTTTTAAACTGGCAGAGGAATCCCTGAAAAACTCATTCTGACAATGTCCTACTGCGGTCTGTGTGCTCTATCAGACAGACACGTGGTCTCTACCAGGTGAGCCGCCAGGCTCATCTCTCATTCACATGTACCTCCTACTTTGCCTCCTCTAACAACTGCAGTGCTTTCAACAAGAGGACAACAATAATAAAAATAGCAATAATTAAAAAGGTAATCTACATTATTAACTTCCTTTGGGTATATTACAGTGGTATTTTCTGTACATGGCCCAGAACTAAGTTCCCTATGTACACAGAGCCGGGGGGGTGGGGAGGAAGCGTCGACCTTGGAAGTCTTAGCCTTATGCCCTGAAAGACAAGGTTCCTTTCTTCATTGGAGAGTTGCTCGCCACCCTGCTGTTCTGAAGTAGCAACATTCTGTAAACCTGGTGGGGCTGGGGAGAGGGCTGGGGACAGGAGAGCGGGCGCATTTCCTTCTGTCTCCTCCCACAGTCTGTCTATTCACAAAGCCCATCAGCAGCTGCTGTTTTTGAATTCACCATTCTCCGTGATGGAAAGCTTGGTGGGGTTGGTGGGGGAGATGCCATTGCGGACCTGCATGCTGTACCGCTCCTTCACTTGGGTCAGCGCGCTCATCAGTCTGGTGTTGGCCGAATCCAGCGACACGATCCGTTTTTCCTACAACACACCAATTATGGCTTTATTCTGGCTCCATGCAGGCAACTACACCATAATATTCTACTGAATGACTGTTCTAATGCTTTCTATCAAACAGCAGTACACATGATGCTTCCCAGACAAATGGAACGTCTCTGCCTCTTTCTGCACCCTAGTCAGGCCAGCTTCCCCTGAGCCCAACGGGTCTGTGTTTATTTTCTCTCTTTTTTCCTTTCAGCATTAGCAGGATTTGTTATTAATCATCCCTTGGGACCCTAGGACATCATGTAAAAATGACACCATGTGTTACGTCAGACTATGAAACAGAGGTGTCAAGCTGCCTTGCTGTATTAAGTACTTTGGGTCAAAACTAAAACATGGGAATTAGGTGGCAAAGAAAGAAGCACCAGAGGTTTCATTTCACAGAGGAGAAGTGCATGTGATCTATGGGTTCTTAGACCCCGAAGGGGCACATCAGTCACATTTGGAAAGAATTCACATGGTGCTCAAAACTGAAACAATACATGGTGGCAGTTTATAGTCACCAACAAAGTGAGGATGCAACAGCAAGAGGGGGAGAAGCAGCCAAAAGCTCAGACCAAGGAGTTATTTGAATATGGGAAGGGAGATGTGGCCAAAGGGGGATGCCAGAAACATAACACATGAAAACAAACAGAGAACACAAGCTCCTAGACTCATTCCAGCTCAGAGGTACTCCAGGAAAGCTACCCAATAAGGAGACTGCTTTCATTTTACTTTTGAATCTTGGGGGGGAAAAAAAAAAAGGCTTAGAACAAATATTTTGGAACCAAAGACTGTTGAATACACAAAAAAAAACCAAGAGAAAAAAGAGGGAAAAAATGGCAATCTAGAGAAAAGTAGGCTCATCTAAATTAAACAAAAATAAAAATCATCCCATCAAAATATTATCAGTCTCACAAAGACTAGGAGAGAAATCCTAATCTTAGCTTCACCAGCTAGGTAAATCATCCTAGAACCTTTCCTACATGAAGTTGCCATTTTTTAGAAAACAAGTTAACGCTGAGAAGGACAGTCTTTACCTACATCTATGATATCAAAAAAAAAAGAAAACAAAAGCATGTGAGGAACAATCCTTAAAGCCAAAAAGAGCTTTTCTACCCAGGGAGTGTTTTAATTTACTCAGGGAAAAGCATGGTAAGGATAGTCATGGTCAGGTTCAGAGAGTACATACAAGGGCTGAGGGTTAGATGCTATTGCTTGCTGTTACAGCATAGCTCCACAGGGCCGTGAGCAGTACTGCTCTGCCAGAAATGTGCTGCCCAAGGATGCAGAGTGAAGACCACTGCCCTGGGGGGCAATTTAGGTAAAAGCATATGCAACAACAGCATCAAGTAAGGCTTCCCTTTAATCTCCTGCTTTGGGGGTGGGGCGGGGATCTATATGGCAGCAGGGCTGGTGGTCACAGTTTCAAAAGTATGAAAAAAACTAGCTCACACTTGTTATTATTAACATTTTTTTTTTTCCTTTCCTTGATGCAGAACTCAGGTGGTAAGATACAAAAAAATCAGCATTATTAACTAACCCCTAATCTAGCCTAAGATGCTTTTTACTTTGGAAAGGTAACTTGTTTTAAGGATAAGCAAAACTCAAAGAAAGAAAGAACTACAAGGCTTTAAAAAATAATAATTAAAAAAATTACGGCCAGTGGAATTTACTGGGATAACAAGTATAGATCTTTTAAAAGTCAGTAAGTAAGGGTTGGCCAGTGGTTACCAGAAGAAAAGGGGTGGGAGCCAGATATGATGTTTCCCCCTATGGTTAGAAATGATCTCTAAGCAGATAACCTGGTAATATCTAAAAATGATTAAAAAAGAAAAGATATATCAGTATTAGGATAAATTATAATGCCTCAATTCTAAGGAGTGCAGGATTCTTTAGGGTTGATCCAAAGAAATTAGGTATTCATGAAAAATTATTTGATTCTTAAAGGGTCAAAAAAGGCTAAGAATGATTTTCTTTATTTATTTCCTGCAAGAGTAACAGCTGAAGTCAAGCAGCCCTTCTACTAAACAGTTGAAAGTTTCCAAGTGGAGAAACTCCCTTCTGTAACTCCCCCCACTGCCAACCTTTCAAAGTAAAACAAAAAAAAAAAAAAAAAAAAAATCAAACAGGGACTTTTGAAAGTCAAGTTCAGTTGGCAAAAGATGGCCTTGACTTCTCCATTCTGCCTGGATTGAACGGCAAAGCAATCTAGTTCCTGCCTGACAGGAAGGATTTCAAGTGTGGGGAGTGCAGGAGCTGGAATGTGTAGGAGGCCAGTGCACCGGGCCAGGGCTGGGAACTGCTCAGCTAGAGAATGGACGGGTTACTTGCCTGTTTGCATAATCTCATCTCCATTTATGACCTGTAATTTAACACAGCGGAGATATCACTTGCAACAGTAACTAGGCAGCTGCTTGCTTCTCCTAGGAGGAAGTTCTCCACCTGAGTCATATAGAGAGATCCGGGGGTGGGGTGAAAGGTGGCACAGTCCCTGGTCTGATGTTTAAGAAATGGTCCCTTAGTACCATCACCAGGATCTCCATGGTGGTGCTACAAGGCCCAGGACAGGGTCACCAGGGGAGTACTCATCCTCTCCCAGTTCCAATAGAAAGTGGCTGACCCCGGTGGGGCCTTTGGAGCATAAACTGACTCGAGGAGATGGAGAGGCTGAGTTCAGGGACCAGCCTTGTCTGTAGGGGCACAGGGCTGCTGAGAGAGAAGATGGAAACCAGTTTGCTGGGTACCTGACCTGTCCTGTTTTGGGAAATATTGGGCCCATTGCTAGTATAAGGAAAGCAATTCATTTCAGAAATATTTTTTAACTGCCAGTGGCACCAAGGCAGATGCCAGGGACATAAAAGTATGGGTTCCCTCACTGGAAAGCTTTCACCCCCAAACATGTCCTCATTCTATTAAATAATGCCAGAAGGGCTGCTCTGCTCCATCAAACACTTAAGATGTAAGATTTATCCTTTCAAAGGAAAAGTCATTTGTTACAAAAGACACTAAAGGATTTTCATAGTCTTTTGCTAGAATAAGATTTTAATGTATCAGTGAGACAACAGCTGGAATTGGGAAACCTTCCTTTTAAGGAGATTATAATTTTTTAAAAAACTAGTTTTAGTGTTTATCATCTGTGCTGTGCATGGTGCAGTGGTTTTCAAAATGTGGTCTAATGGATTCTCCAAGTGTTCTTTAGGGATCCATAGTGAGCCTCCAGTAGAAAATTTATTATACAGTAATAAATTTCGTTGAGAGAAGCCCTTGTTCTTGAATGGTCAGCAGGAACAGCTGGAAAGCCATCTATGGGAGGCACCTCTGGTTCCGCCAAAACAGTCCACAGAATCAAACCATTTGAAAACCACTGCCTGAAATATGGACCCAAACTGTTATCTAGTTTAGCCAGACCACAAGTCTGACATTGACTGATGCTTTGAGGATAACAGTTCTCCCATTCCTGAATGGTGACGTCCTCGTGTTAACTGAGAGAAGGTTCTTACTTTCCAGAGTTTTTGAGCCCTGATGAACCTGATTCCCTCCCTTGCTTTCACTTTCTATGCCTATGACTCCTGCTCCATACCCAGTCGTCTTACTCTAGACGTCAAAATGGGGGCAGGGGTGGGGTAGAAATCTTCAGAAGCTAATGATGAGGTTGTCTTGACAGGCAACCGAGAAGGTGGAAATGCTGTATGCACAGAGCCATGACTACGACACCCCCAAGCTCCCTCTGCTTAAGACTGACTCGGTTTTAGACAAGCTGAAGTTATTAAAACGGTCTGTATGATTTCATTAGAACTAAAATCTATTCGGGTGTAGTTATTAATAGAACTCTCTCTGCTTTACACTGTCACATTGAAGATCCCAAAGTGAACACTTATCAACACTTGTTTCCCTGACTAAATTGCCTTCTTTATCCAGACTGTTTCTCTTAAGCCTCTCAGATGAATTTTTACAGTGTGCCTGTCGAGAAGGCCTTGTCTCTGCTACCCTTCCCTCACCTACCTTGGGGACACCTAGAAAAGTTTAAAAAATGGACCAAGTAAGAACTTTCTTCTGATTCTTAGGAGGTCTAAATATCCAGAAACTGCAGAATTCAAAGGTCCAAAATATTCTGGGAACCGTGCTGACGAGAGAGCATCACAACTCACCCTCGACTGCCGGGTCTCGTGTATGTGAGGGAGTAGGAGGCCCATGACGCACTCTTCCCATGGCTGTGCTTTCAGCCTTACTCCCAATTCCTTTGAAAAATAAACCCCATCCCATATTAGCCCTGTCACGAAACTAGACTGGGGGTAAAATGCGTGTTTAAGAATACTGGGGGCTCTGCCATAGACTGACTACTGGCTGATAAGGAGAGAAGAAAGTTGGACATAAAGTCCTTGCTCCCATTTTTATTTCAGAGCTGAGGGAAATGATATGGTACTTAAGGGTGAGAAACGCAAACCTGGCTGGGTGGTCTTCAGGGAGGTGATACATTCAGTGGCCAGACCAGCCACATCCAAGCTGCACTGCCGTTTTTTATTTGTTTCACTCTAAGAAATACAACCATGTTTTGCACTGATAAAATGAAAAAGGAATTAGAAACATTTCCTGCCTCCTGGATTTTGCTCTGATCACTGACGTGAACCTGGGAGGGGGTGCTCTTGGCAGTCATCCGTCATGCCATTATTATCACAGGTAGAAGCTGCAGTGAGCAGAGGCCCAGGTTCTGATTTCATCAACCAAAAGAGGCTCTCCAAGCACAGCGCCAACAGAGAAGGGCAGCCAAGCGAATCCCAGGCATCAATGCCAAATCCGGAACCAAAAGAATAACAAGGAAGGGTACCTTTTACAACCCTGTCTTTCCCCTGCAGCTAGACTACTGTTTGGGGCCAGAGGCTGATGGCACAGTGGACGTGACTGACAAGACTGTGAACATCATAGCCAAGCAATGGTCAGTGGAGGTCACAAGCCAGACACATGCAGTGTACTCTTCACAGGTACCCCCTTAGAGAATCCCCTCCTTTCCAGAAGGAAAGAAGTAAACCCCATCATGCACTAGGTTGAGATTTGTCGAGCAACTGCACTAAGCACGCTAAAACTTTGCTAGGTTAACAGACTTGTCACCAGTAAAGGAAAGAAAAGGTCATAGAGGTCACAAAGAAACTCTTTTACTCTTCACAAGGTAATGCTGAGAACTTTCCAGTGACCTATTGTCCATCATGTGCCTTGGCATTTGCAAAGGGTGGGAAGTCAGGAGATAAGTTATTATAAACAAGTGCCTTCCACTAGACTAACAACCTGCTTACCTGTGCATCAATTATTTTTTGCTTTGCATCGATAACTGCTTGCATCTCAGCATGATCCTTCTTCAATTCCTCTTCCACAGCCATTAGCCTAGAATGGGGTAGTAAGGAGAGATCAATATCTTCAAGGAGAGAGCTGGCTAACGTAGAGGACAAGAAACCCACACTCAGGACAGCTCAGTACTGCCACTCCTTCCTAGTACAAGATCTGCAACCACGCTCTATCTTCTCACCCACCTTAGAAGAAGACATCCAAAGTTGATTTCTCTACTGGGACTGGATTTTTACCTCCTCTGGAACAGCATTCCCACAATTATTATCTCCCTCTTTTCTATCAGATCCTTTCCTCAGCACAACTTATTTCATCTTAAAATAGCAAACCAACCCACAAAAACCAAACCCTCTCCTAATCTTGTTACCTTGTAACAGCTGACCTTTCTCTTCCCCTGAACAGCTAAGTTTCCTCAGAGCGTACTCTACACATAGTAGGTCTACTTTCTCTTCCACCATTCACATCTTAGCCCCCTGATGTTTAAACTCCATGAAAAGCCTCTCGGTAAGACTGCTAAATACTTATGTGCTGCTAAAACAGCAAACCTTCTCTGACTTTAAGTTACTTGACCTGCCTACAGCATTTAACAACACTGAAGCACAGTGGTCATGAGCATGGACTCTGGGGCTTGACTGCGTGGTTTCAAATCCCAGCAGCAACACTAAGTGACCTCGGGCAAGTGACTTAATGAATTTGTTGCCTGTTTCTTTATTTGTAAAATGAGAATAATAATAATGCCTACTTCAGAGGTTGGCATTAATCAAATTATTATTAACAGATTAAACAAATTTTATCTGTAAAGTGCTTAGAAAAGTACCTGGCCCATAGTAAGTGCTATGTAGTGTTTGGTAAAATTGTCCCCTCCCTTAGTCTCCCTTGGACATCCTTGGCCTTCTCCTTCGATTCTCTGGCCCTGAAGACATCCCATGAAACTCCCTTCCACCTCTCTGGGCTTGCTGTAAAAAACTAAGTTAGGCTTTGACATTGAATATGTACATTTTTAAGATTCAGTTTTCCTCTAAGACCTCTCAAGTGAGTCACTAAGTTTTAATTTTTTCTAATTGTTACAACTAAAGGAAAATAGACTACCTCTATCTTCAAAGGAAGTGCACTAAGGTCTCACATTAGAAAAGTGTAAGAGATATAGTCAGCTGTCGCCTTTGTACCAAGTACCACAGAGGACATGCAGAGCTGCAAATGGTTTTTGCTGCCATTGCTTTAGGATTCTCTGGGTCATCGTCCCACCTCTTTGCAGCCCTAGCTACCTAGCCCACGTCCACCACCAGGTGACCTCTGACCTGCTGATGATGCTCTTCATCTGGCTATCCTTCTCCTCCTGCTGCCTGCGCAGCCGCTCCTCGCTGTCCTCCAGCCGGGCCTTGTACTCTAGCAGCAGCTTCTGCATCTGCTGCTCCTGCACCAGCAACCGGCGCTCATACTCCTCTAGCCGCCGGCTGGACACTCGCAGGCGCTCCTTCAGTTTAGTAATTTCCTGTTCGTACTAGAGCAGAGGAGAAGAGGCACCACAGACAAGGAGAGAAATACTGGAGTTACGCTGGTTTTAGACGTTAGTGATTTATTTTTTATGATAGAAACCCTAGGCAATGGAGCTGGATGCTGCCTGAATTGCCATTCCACGGGCTGCTGACGTTCTTTAAAATTATCAACAGGCATCACTTAGGAGCTCTGCCCGCCTCCTAAAATTACACTTTTAGTCTTACCTTGGCATTCCAAATCTATATATTTATGTATCACTCTCCACATTAAACTACCAGTTCCTGCAAGCCACATCCAATCTGTGACCGTATCAAATGGGAACAGGAAAAAAAAAAGATCAAGCATTTAGAAGCCTGACATATGACTTAAAATAAGCCAAAAGCCAGTTGTCTACGTGAGAAAAGATTTCTGTATCATCACCTGTACTGCAGGATCTCTGACATGCCTTCACTCATCAGACTACCATTCTTTCACCCTACTAGAGCCAGCCCTTTAGAGAGCAAGCAGCACTTCTATAATGTTAAGTTACTAAATCAATAAATAGAATTTTATGGCAGAATAGGCTATTGCTGCTTTCTCCCCAGCTATAAAAGTGTAAAACATTCAGGTCACAAGCTCTAAGCAAAAGGCCTACATGTTCTCTGGGGCTGATTAATATTGCCTCTTGGCCCATTTTCATGATATCGTTCATCTGCCCAGTTTGCTACTGCTTGTTGGAACACATGTCTGTTTTCTCACTAAAGCTTTATATAAATTTATATTCACTAACGCTTTATATAATTCAATTGGTTACATGGCCCTTTCTTGTACTGAAGCTGCTGTGCGTTGGGGTTTGAGTAACTGGAATGTCAAATTTCTGGGTGAGGTGAGAAGCATTAAGCTGTCTTGTATATGGCCTATTTAAATTCATTAGTAATTAATGATAAATCTGTATGCTGCTTTGTAAAATGCAATGTATTTTTACATAATATTCCATTTAATTGACAATCAGACAGTTAGCTTCTGCTTATCCAACGTCATGGTCCTACACTATGCTTATTAATCCAGAAGGTCAAAGATGACAGTTCTTATACAGTTTGAAGAGGTAGACTACGTCAATAAGAATAGTTTAGGTTCCTGCTGATAAGTAAGCAGAAGCTACTTGTCTGGCTGTTAATGAGGTAATGCCATACATGGTGTTAATGTTCTTGTTTGATAATCCTTATTCTTCATGTCAGCTTTTCTTAACAAAACAAAACGAAACAAAACTGAAGCAATAGATAATGTCTTTTTTTTTTTTTAGCCAGTGTCTTTTAAAAAAATAGCTATAGTGTTAGAAGCTCTTTACCCAGAAAAGGTGAAAAGAAAAACAAAAAAAGGGACTTCCCTGGTGGCGCAGTGTTTAAGAATCTGCCTGGCAACGCAGGGCACACGGGTTCGAGCCCTGGTCCAGGAAGATTCCCACATGCTGCGGAGCAACTAAGCCCATGCACCACAACTACTGAGCCTGCGCTCTAGAGCCCACGAGCCACAACTACTGAAGGCTGCAAGCCACAACTACTGAAGCTCATGTGCCTAGAGCCTGTGCTCTGCAACAAGAGAAGCCACTGCAATGAGAAGCCTGCACATCGCAACAAAGAGTAGCTCCTGCTTGTGGCAACTAGAGAAAGCCCTTGCACAGCAACGAAGACCCAACGCAGCCAATAAATAAATAAATAAACAAAGAAAAACAAAAAAAAGACAAAATCATTACAAAGATATAGAAAGGAAGTCTAGTCCAAGGGTAATCTTGACTTTGGTTAGTTATACAGAAACACTAAATATTCACCTAGAATGACTAGAAACGAGTAGCAGAGTTTTCTCCAAGTTAAGTCACCTCATATTAAAAAAAAAAAAAAATTAGAGCTAATCCTCCCACCCCAGCTTGATGGACATTTCCGCATATTTTCAAACACAGACACTACCTGAATTATACACAGATACGTATATAAGGGTTAACATAAGAGGTGGAGCTGAAGTTGGGGACCCTGGGGAGATCATCTCCTTGGCTAGACGACCCTTTGGGTGGCCTATCACTGTGTGGGCAATAAAGACAGACTAGGTTCTACCTTCTCAGCATGCTTGGCTTCATCTTGATTTTGCTCGGTTTCTTCTACATCTTCTTCATATTGCCCATTGTTCAGAACCCAGGCTGCTGTCCTCTCTACTGGGGACATTGTGGCAGAGTCCACAGGTGACTGAACCTGCGTCAGAAATACCTATTAGCATCTCCAAAAAGAGCTCATCCACAGTTAGGTTTCACAAAGAGAGCTATTCTTAGAAGACATTATTGTGATCCCTGTTTTCTGTTAAATGTTCCCAGTTCTAAATAATATTTTGTTACTGCAAGGGCTGGTGGTGAGGGAAGAGAATATCCATTTATACAAGGATAAAATCTTCTGAAATGTTGTGAATAGAAATCACATCTAAGAACCTGCCGTTTTTTCCCTCCAAAGAGGGAAAGCCAAGGCCTTAAAATTGTTAATTAGTCCAATGGTTTCATTAGGTCATTACCTAATGAAATTACGATGATGACAGAATGAGAGAAGGAAAGCACAAGTTGATGGTTGATTGCTCAGGTGAGGAAACATCTGCTTAACCAGGGATGATCAGGAACCAAGGAATTGATTAATGCTAAACAACTCACAAGGTACCCATTTATATATCAGAATGCCAAATTCTTAATTTTCACATCAACCATTTAGGGAAAGAGAAAAAAAGTGATATTGGTCATTTTTACAGACACTGACTTCTTCATGGGTTAACATCACTCAGAAGTCCATATTTTACCAGAAAGTTTCTTGATGAATACAGGATCAAAACAATGGACATCAACATAGTCTAAGGGATATTTCTATCCAGTTAGGATAGCTAGATAAATTGCCCTTTTCCAATAGATATGCAGAGTGATAAGAATTCTGGCTTTGAGTAGCAATTCTGCTACTTACATTGTCACTTAATCTCTTAAATACTTTTTTCCAAATCTATTGAATAGGGCTACCACTACCATCACCACCTATCCTGACCATCTCCCAGGGAGTTCTAAGGACTGAACAATATAATGTATGTGAAAGTTCTTTGGAAACTATGGAGTACTATAGAACTTAGATGTTATTACTGTATTTATGCTTAGAAAACTGGCCCTGGATATGACAATTTATATTGGGCTACTGAACATTAGTGCTTTCTCCATAAACAGTGCTAGAAATAGATAACAAATTCTTTTTCTCTGGCTTTCTTGAGAAGAAAGAGAGAGACAGATAGACAGAACAAAGCATTTTTATGTGAGTTAGCCTTTTTATAATTAAAATTAATTTCTATTTTGAGGACCAATACTCTATAAATAATTGGAAGGGAATTTTCTCTCCCATGCAGAGCTATGTACCTTAAGAATCTTTATGTCATTTTGGAATAAAACCCGGTTAAACTCTAAATATACAGATATTTTAAAATAAGGGGTATCTTGATGACTTTGAGATTTAGAAAGACTAGATGAAAAAAATTGGTTGCAGAGACAAAAAGGTTATTTGGGGGAGACTTTAAAAAATATTCATACAAAAGTAGTATGAGGGTATTTCCTAAAGGTTTGAAGAAGAACCTGGTTTGGCTGATTTACAAACAGATTACAGATACATATCGATAAAAAACAGCTTCATGCCTGAGGCACACACAAGCAACGGTGAATGAACTTTTAGAAATTCCTTCTTTAAAGCCATTTTCTCCACTGTGTCAAGAAAAACATAAACATGTCTTAAACTTCAGTACCCTCAGTTCTTAAAAAGTCTACCTTCATCTCCACTATGGTAGGCAGGCTTCTTATACTTCATTCATTTGTGTATCATTCTCATTATTTTTGTCATAACCACGTTGTCACTGATATATTATTTATCATCTCTTTAAAACAACCTTTTTCAGTTAGCTAAGTCCTTATGCTAAGCAATATTATCAGTAAAATCATGAGTTTAATGTTATATATATTATAAATTTATAAATACATTTTATATTAATAGTTAGATATTTTTCTAATATGTGTTAAAATAATTAAATGATTGATTAAATACCTTGTATATTTAAATAGTTTTGAGTATCACACTTTGGAAACACTGACCTATAGACTATAGTATCATTTATATTAAAAAAGATAATAATTATCTACTTCAAAAGTTATGAGAAACAAATGAGATGGCATGTAAAAGCAGTTTGTAAACTACAAGGTACTTCACACACACACACACACACACACACACACACACACACACCCTAGTTCTCCTCCTACTGGATTTTGAAAGCGGAGCACAATAAATTGCTTTAGTATTTAGAGAAAAATAGTTTAAAAAGGGGTTTAGGTTTTTATTTGATATATGTACACCTGAAAGGCAAAATATTATGGTTCTGAGTCTTTAAAAATTAATAGAAAGTCAATACTTAAAGGAGACAAATGCCTTTTTAATTTTAGAATCTTATCCCTTTACCACATAGGGCACAGGAGAGCTGCTTTTCTGTGAAACCAGGATTTTCTATTCAGCTGCTGCTTGAGATAAAGTAGCCACTAAAATGAATAACTTTAATGTTTGGAATTTGTAACTTCAAGGAAGCTAATTCAGTAGCTTTCTGCTTTATAGTTAACAATATGTTGTTCGCCAGAACTTTCTTCCCCTGTGATTTGTTACGAGTAACTATTTATTGAATGCCAATAAACGCAGTACAAGCTAATAGTATCCCTAAGGACATACTAAAGAGAGATCTTAGCCCCTAAAAGCATATTAAAAACAACTTCTTAGGTAATCTAGGCATAAAATGTAAAGTGAGAAGCTGTAAAAACAGAGTTGGTTCATTTCACTGGTGTTGGTGGTAGCTACCATATCTTCAGAAGGACTAACAATGTCCAGTGAATTATGAGACAGTGTACAATGGGAACTGGGCATTCCAGTCTATTCCTATTTTATTGGTTCAATCTGTTTTTCAACCACTTCCTCATATACCCTAGCACTGTGCATGGCATACGGTAGGTGGTCAATAAGTTTTAAAAAAATAAATCAGACTAATATAACTATTCCTTGTATTTATGATAAAACCTTTACATAATTATAAAGAGCAGAGAAGTAATATTGAACAAATCAGAAATAGTTTTATCTACATTGAAGACTATGGAGGTGATTTTTATTTCAAAATTTTTTTCAAAATTATTTTTTATTGTAATATGTTCTTCATATGAAAGAACTATATACTGTCTTTTACATCTACTTGATTGGTCTTCTGAGTGCTGGTCTTATTTCCTGATTAGACTGTCAACCCTTGAAGCATGGCACCATATATCATAGAATTTTTTTTCTTTTGGAATGGTAGTGACTATGTCATTGCACAATTGATGCTCAATAAAATATTATTCATTTATTATTACTTTGGATTCTCTTTAGAATTCATTACCAAAGTATAATTTATTACTAAGAGAAGGATACCCTATGTTTTTCCTCTAATCCTTTGGAAGTACATCAAAGGCTTTTCCTCAGTGATTGTTCTATCTCCTTTATAAGCTGGATAGCTAACAAAATTTATTACCTCTAGTTTATAGTCAAAGAAATTGAGAAAAGAGGTTGGTAAATGTTTCAGATGCCATCTTGCTTAGCTATAGCCTTAAGAAGAGCATTTTCTTCATTGACTTCCAACAGTGGATCATTAAAGAAAATGAAGGATGAAAATGACGAAATGAAAAGGAGCACGGATTCCTATTAGGAATATCACCCTTTTGAGATAAAGCTTTTATAGGGTTTCTCTGGGAAAAATAATAACGCTTTAGGGCAAAAGGGCCTGAGAAAGCAGTTTCACTGATCCTACAGTTAGCCTGGCTATGCTGAGGATGACTGAGAACAGGCCGGTTCCCTGTTTATTTACTAGATATAAATAAGACTTGTTGCTTTCAACTTCTCCATAGTCTGAAATAGTCAGGTTCCCATAAATGAATAACACTATTGCTATCAACACCAAAGAAAGAGCTGACTAAATTAGTAAGTAAACTGAGAATCCTTGAAGAGGTTGGTTAGGTGAGGGTTCAACAAATCCAAATGTGAAAACTGTAGCATCATTCTGATAGGCTTGTCAAATACCTATTTAAAAAGCCTCTTCAAATTAGAATTTCTAAGGTTAGGTAACACGCTATAATCTGAACAACTCATATATTGTAAATAGAGTCTATTATGTGCACAGAATACATGATACACAAAAAAACAAGATGGAGAGGAAAATAATTAAAAAGAAATCCAAACAGAGGCCGAAAAGGGTCAAAAAATTCCTTCTCTGTAGAACTAGGATTTTATTTCCTTCCTACTCAGCAAATGGAGAAGACTGAAGCTAGATACATTGCCAACAATGGCCGCTCCTTTGTGCTAAGATACAAATGGAATTTGCATGGGACAAAACCTCCAATAATTACAAATGCCGGCAGAACAATCCCCACAAAGAAATCCTCCAGTTTTTGGGAGAGAAGAATTCCCCAACACAATTTGCAATTAAAATATGTAAAGGAATTTACGTAAAAAATGTGCTGATTATATAGAACATCAGAGGCTTCATGGGACTGAGATGAGAAAAGCAAGCAAGAATGATAAGGAACAAAAAAAAATAATAACATACGTTTGAAAGAATAAAACATCTGCATAGAAAAAGCCAGTGTAGAAAAAACAGAAAACTGAGCAATCAAAATACAGTGATTTATGTCATAACTGGTATGACAGTGGCAGCACCAGCAAAGGCACAAACAGGGCTGAATATGTAAAGCTGTGCTGTGGCTATGCCTCACTTCATGCCAACATAACATAGACATTCCCAAGCTCATTAATGGCTATGGCTCAAAAGTATTTTAATTGGTTGTCTGAAGACCATATATGCATTTCCTACCTCCCATCTATTCAAACAGCTTTCTATTCACGCACAGAAACACGTAGTGCTTATATGATAGGTGTTATATTTTCCTACAGCACAGATATTATAAATGACAATTCATTTCCGATGATCACACAAAAGGCTATTTAATTTACAATATCTATTAACAGTCAGTCTGAGTCACGGCTCCTGGGAATTGAGGACAACATGATACAGGAGGGAAGGGTAAGCATTCTTCTTTTCTCTCCAGGGCTGGGACTAAATCCACCTTTGAAAAGTAGGCAGAGGGCCCACCCTGTGCCCTGTCTTGCCCCTCTCTGCCAATCTGATATTCTTCTCTACTCCTTATCTCATCCTCAGGGCCTTCAAGCTGCACTAAATCCCCACGTAGACATCTGCCTCCACACAGTACTGCATCTCTGAAATTACTTATCTTTCTTTTCTCCTCTCAGTCAACAATTTAATTCTCTGAAAGGGGTTGATCTCAACTAGAAGCTAGCATAAAATCAAAGTATGGAAACTAATTCACAATAAGGTGGGAGAGACTGATAGCCTCCTAACGTAAATTAAATGTACATATATGACATATATATAAAAGATATATATATAAAAGCATTTTCATTTAAAGAAAAGGAAAAAATTATATAATATAATCATTATGTAAATTAATAGAGTATAATCTTTTTTCCTTTTCTTTAAATTAAAATGTGTATTAAATCAAATGAATTGGTGAAATTTGGGGAAATATAACAAAATAAAAATGAAAAATTTAAGACTGAAGAAAAAGTTTATTTCTCAGGAAAGAACTGACCAACTAGGAGGTTTTGCCCAGGAAGTTGCCTACCAGAATCAGCTTAAGTTTTCATCCCTTCTTCTACTTCTTTATCTAAGGATTCTGTAAATGTTCTAATTTTTTTTTTAAACAATAATTATCAAAGTAGAGGCAAGGGCTCTGACCACAGCAGAGTGGTGGCAGAAGCAGCCCAATCAGTAAATGCCTACCTATAAAAACGCATATACTAAAGAGATACATTGGGGGTCTCACTGCAGTCTCCTCTGACCAGTGATTCTGCTGACAAAAGGATTTGTCATAGAACTCTTCTAACCACAAAGCTCCCTAATACAAATAAAGTAGGATTAGGTTCCAAAAAAACTTCAACAAAGCTCTTTTTAGGAGAAAAATCTTTTTTAGATGAAAGTAAGATATGTATATATATGCACTCATAAGGTTCTTAGTTTATTTCAAGAGCAAATATGGATTGGCGTCTCAAAATGTAATCTGTAAAGAAGAGATGATAAAATTCTTAAGGAACATTTTTATTTGTGAAGAAAAAAGTTTGATCATCTTATATTAAATTTAGGTGAGACACGAGCTGGGCTTGTCCATGTAAATAGAAATATAAGAGATTTCCATAAATGTTGAGAGAATACTTGTCAACCACCTGTGTTTCTATCTTTTTACCTCTCTTCTTTACCTTGCTTCTATAGGTGCTCAGTTGTTTATTTTTCTAGCCATTTCCAGGAAAGGGCACACGGGGACTTACTACTTCCAGAGGGAGTTGGGGGATGGAGTAGAGAGCAGTTACGTTAAACTCTTGGCTGAAAGTGCAAAACTTTATTCTGGAAACTTAAGAAAAAAAATTAAGGAGGATTAATGTCCAGATTCCCAAAATATATCCTAGTTGATCTGGCCTGCAGATTCACAGCTTAAATGTCTAATTATTACTCAACATCACAGATTGTTCTCAGTGCTGAGATCACAGCTCTGCTGCTTGAAGAGACAGAAAGGCCCCTGGAGTGGTTGTTACAGTCTCCTAAGAGTAATGAGGCAAGCTACATTCTGCTGCCTCATCTAGCCAGAAGCCTCCCAAACTTTTCATTTCCTCTTCCATTAAAAGGTTGCAAAAAATAGTTTTAAGTGGAAACCCTGCTAGCAATTGGATTTCTCAATGATTTATATATAAAGAACCGAGGAAACAGTCGGACCAAGTACCTGGCAGCCCCCTCCAGCACTCACCCCTACCTGCTGTGTCTGCTGTCTCTGGATCGCTCTCACTTTGGGAACAGGGCTCTCTCTGGAGGAAGAGGACTGCTGCCGGGACCGGCTCCCATTTTGCACAGGTTCGGCCACCAGAGCTGCAGATGCCAGTGACATGCTCCCGGTGCTACGTAGGGAAGCACTGTGTGGCAGGGATGGTGGGGCTTTGGCTCGGGCACCTAGCCCAGCCTGGTCCATTTTTCGGATCTGGGCCTGCCCCGTGCTATTCTGCCGTGGCAGAGCAAGAGGTATGTGTCTGTCCGACACAGTGTGCCGCCTGGAGAAGTCCTCACTCTGAGTGCTACGTTTGGTGAAATCTTCCATGCTGCTATTGCTGGGTCCACTGAGTTTGAAGTCTTCACTGTTACTTTGGCTCCTGGAACTAGCAGTGCTTAGGTTCTCCAAACTGGAATCCACAGAGGCCTTTGGCATTGCTGGAATTGGGTTATTGAGGTGATAGACAGGGTTCTGGAATGACAAGGGCTGGAGGCTGCCTGGCTGGTTCAAGGCTGGGTGCAGGGGCCTTCGCACTTGGGGTGCGCTCTGGGGAGTGCTCTGGGTTTCCCGAAGTTGTTTGATGCTGGCCACCTGGGTTATGGAAAGCTGGCTTCCAGTCAGGCGCATTGGCATGTCAAGCATGACAGACGCATGCTCCACTTGGGCGGCATGAGTGTCCTGAAGGTCCATGAGGGAGATGCTCCGGCCATTAGGAAGGCTATTTTCCTTTTCATCCTTTTCAGAGTAAGTCATGCTCTGGGAGGAGGCTTGCTGAACCAGCAATAACGTTTTCCCTCTGAAATAGCTATCTGTGTTGTCCTGGCTTGGAGATTTTAGTTTATGCAAATCACTGTGGAAAAAGAAAGGACCCTTAATTACTCCTGAGGCAAATTCAACAGAGTTAAGATTCCTCAACTCAAGCACATGAACTCTTCAGAAGGCTCAGAGGTCTGGTGTGGAGACTTACATTGGTTTCTAAACACAGATTTCATCATCACAATTCTTAGGATAAGATCCAACATTTTTAGTTTTTCTTCAAAGGTGGAGAATAACACTGTATAGACCACTCCATCTCTGTCTTAGATTTTTACTAGAATTCCAATCATTTCCTAGTTAGGTTTTACACCTCCCAAGGTATTCCAATTCATAGTTAATTGGTTCTGTCTAAACCTTCGAGAAGCCCTGAGTGCACAACCAAAGGGTCCCTACTAAAGACACAAGTCTTGCCAATACAGAAAACAAAGTCTAAGCATCAACACTGTATCTACCTGTTCAGCTGACACAGCCAGCTCTAAAATATTTTCCACTGAGGTTCTCAGATTTTTGAGCGCTACAACACCTGAAAATATCAAATTCATAGAGCTCTTAGTCTTCCATTAAGTAGGACATAGGTTCTTTTTATAAGTTTGTTGAATATAACTACAATATCATTCTAGAAAATTAGTATCCTAGACCATGTGTATTATTATGACAAACAATTGGATTTATCTCAGAAGATTCTTTCCAACTGCTCATGATTTTAAAGTTGTAAATTCAACAAGTAAATTAAATAGATTTTTCCCAAATCTCTACATATTATCTCCCTCTGAGATAAGTAGTTCCAATTCTCTCTGAAATTCATACCTGTCAGTAGGGTCTTCAAAAATTTTCTGCAGCCCAGAGGAGAGGCTTCCACTGACATTTGGACTGGAGTTATGCTCAGTGAAGCGTCTCAGTTGCTGTTGTATTGGTGTAGGATTAGTCAGAGATTTGGTAATATCAGCAAGAACACGAGGGAGAGGTCCCAATTTTGCCACGGTCGCCTGTAGGAAGGAATTTTCACCCTAATTGGATAATAAGCATTGCGATATCCACCACAGATTGTTTTTGGGACAACGATGCCCATTGATGGAGGGGTGGAGGTTGGAGGGAAGGGTAGGTGTTTGCATATGGGAGTGGCAGGTTCATAATGCATTGTTATGGAGCAGCAGAACCATGGCGTCGAGATGAATGGAGGAGGCGAAACAAGATGCAGCAGACATTGAGGAAAGAAAGGAAATAGAAATTAGGATTATGCAAATAAAAATTAAAAGACATGCTCAAAACAACCAAACTATTGCCATTCCAACTAAAATAGACATGCAAAGCAAACTAAATCTTTGGGAGGCTGGTAGATCAAGGTGGGGGAGGGTAGGGGAAGAACCAAACACCTTCTAACCAAAAAGAACTTTAAGACCAGAAGATTGGCTGGTGTGATGAAACTTCCAAAGAAAAGGGATCATGTGAGGAAAGAAATGCATGCCAACATACAAGAAGGTGTTGCATTCAGGGGTCCAGAGCACTGCAGGGCACACAGTTGATATTGCCATCCACTAGCCATTTAATCTTGGGAACCCTGACCTACTGCCAGCTGAGTTTGCATCAGTAAGACAATTTTTAAAAAAAAATTTAAACAGCAAAGTTATGACACATCTATGAGATGTGTCTAGATAGATGTACTGCTGGTTCCCAGGACCAAACAGAAATTAAAAAGGAGAACGTGTGTTTACACAGCAAAGCCTGTTAAAAAGACCTTGACCCTGAATAAACCAGGTTGATTTCAGAAGATAACTGTATCTGCATCCCACTGATGCAGTTATTCAGTGAAGAATAACTTTTTATGATTTGCTTTATCCATCTCAATCATTTTTTTCTTTGGGGATTCTCATTCTCATGGGGTCTTATGGGAACCTTCATCCATGAGGCAGTTTTACATGGCTGCCTCCGGGTTTTCGTTGTCTTCTCAACAGACTCTTCTACCCTGCTCAAATGAGTACAGGTGCCATCTGAAGAATGTCTTTACTTGCTTGACTCTCTTGAGCCATGATTCATATCCAAGGAATTTACCCTCGGCATAGCTGCAACTTAAAATCTAGCTAGCATTTCTAAAAGTTAAGAAGGGGTCCTTGAGAATAAGAAACAGCTTATTATTTTACAAATGTTTTGGGCACCAGTGGACACCCTACCATTTACATTTCCTCAGGAAGGTGGTCTTTGTTAATAGGTTTTACTCCCCTCTCCCTCATTTTATTGGTGCAATGTTTTTAAAGATAATTGGGGGTGGTGGTGGTGGTGGGATGAATTGGGAGATTGGGATTGACATATATACACTAACATGTATAAAATAGATAACTAATAAGAACCTGCTGTATTAAAAAATAAAATAAAATTCAAAAAATAAAAAATGTTCTGACTCAAAAAAATAAAGATAATAGGAAAATGGAGGAAAACAAATAAACAAATTCTTATCACAGAAAAATAACTTTGTTTTTTGAAGTTATTCTAACATACCACCACAGATATTTATAAAGTAGCTGTAGCAAACAAAAACATCAATAAATACTTATTGTGATAAACCTAGCCAGAGTCTGTTAGACTGTTTTCCATAACAAATTCTATTCCTCTTTGCAAAATTCGAGAAGGAAGAAAATGATTGGCATGGTATATATTTAGTCATTAATATGGTATACAAAAAAATTCTTAGCTTATAGTCAGAAAATAAATGATTAAAAATGATAATTGTTTTCTCTATTCTTAATTTACATCTGCAGATGAAAAGAAAACATCAGGATTTTCAGATCCCACATAACTCTATAGGTACTAATAGTTATATTAAACCCTCTGACTTGCATGATAAAAATAAATCTCATGGTAAGTTACTTAAACATGATAGTCTCAGTATTTTTCTAAGTCCACACTTCCGTTAGAAATTACTACATGAGGTTTCTTCTCACTCTACTATACATGAATAAAGCTTCATACAACAATATTTGATATTAGTTTCTAGGCAAATACACAAACATATTTGTTTATAGAAATATATACTCCATTAATTCAGGTAACTACTTAAAAATATATGTTAATAATTTTGTGGCTTATTAGAATTTCCTGGTTTGTAGGGCACAAATTTTACTCAGAAATCATAACTATTTCCTCCCAGACTTCTAGGGCAAAAGGTTGCTTTCAACAAGCAGAAAGCATGAATGTGATTACTCTGTAGATATTCTCCAGTATCCAGGTACATTAGGGTTCTCTACCTCCCATCTCCTGTTACCCTTCCCGCCTACTTTACCTTATCAAGTTGGGAAACTACTTCCCACAGTAAGGAATGCAAAACTGAAAGCTCTCGGCCCAGATCAATGTAACCATCAAAGCCTGGGGTGTTTGAGATGGTGTCCGGATTAGAGATCTCCAAAAGAAAGCGCTTCATTCCACCCCATTCGTGTTCTAAAAAATCATTCATGAATGCCATGTATTCCTCTTTGTTACCAAATCTGAAGTAGAGGGAGAGAAAATGAGAAAGAACATATTCAGGAAAAGAGATGTGATCATTTTGAATTGACTTTACACAGACCTATACATTTTTTTTTTAATTTTGGGGAGGTGACTAATTTGTTTATTATCTATAAGTGATAAATACTAAAACATACTTTCTTAATATTATATTAATAGACAAAAACTTTGAATAGCTTTCTATTCTCTATAGGGTAAAGACAAAATCCTTTTTTCCTGATATTTAAAGCCATTGTAAACATTCATTATCAGTATAAACCTTCAATATTGCTAGCTTCTTCAAAGTCCCCCAAATACATTATACTCTTTTTCTTCTCCAAGCCTTTGCTCATGCTATTTATTTCTACTAGAGAACTTCCTCTCTTCTTTGCCTATCTAGGTTCTAGCTATCTTCCAGGCCTAGTTTAAGTCCATAAAACATGTTCCAAAATAAACTAGAAACAATTTTTACAAGAATTAGCTCAAATATGAGTAAACATGTATATTTCTGTGTTAGTATATATATATATAGAGCACACAAAGTTAAAATAGTGCACTTCTAAAAAGCCACATGCTAGAAAACAATGTATCTCATTGAAGTTCTAATCTTTTCCTTCAATACATTGCTACTAGAAACTTGTACTTAAGCTTCAATACTGAGTAAATCTGGGATCGATTTTGCCAGTGTGAATTGCTTCTCAGTGATTTCTTAAAATTGTTTTCTATAAATTATAAAAATTATACAAAAAAGAAAAAATTGAAAACAATGAAAAGTGGAAGGAAAAAAGGGTAGGTGTACCCATTCCACCACCCAAACATCTGCTATTTACAGTTCAGTGCATTTCTTCTCCAACTGCTTTCTCCTAACTTCTCTTGAAAAAGTTGAAAGCTACAGAAAAGTTGAAAGAATATACAACGTACACCCATATGCCATTCACCTATATTAACCAACCGTTCCCATTTTGCCGTTTGTTTTCACTCTCTTCTCTTTTTTTGATTGAACCATTTTAAACTAAGTTGCAGACATAGCCTCTAAGTACATTAGCACCTATTTCTCCAGAATAAGGAAAAACGCTTACATAAACCAATGCCACTGTCACTAAAACTTTTAAAAGACATTACTTACAAATTATCTCATATATAGTTCATATTTAAATTTTACCAATTGTCCCCAAAATGATTTTTATAAATGTTTGTTCCAGTTCAGATCCAATTAAGATTCAAGCAATGCATTGTCTCTTTTAATCTAGAACAGTCCTCCCTCCATCTTCTCCATTTTTCATGATATTGACTTTTTGAAGGGGCCAGGCCACTTGTCTTAGATAATGTAACCATAGAATTTTGACTGATTGCTCTTCCCAATGTTCCTATACTTAGGTTTTTGTGTTTTCATATTGTTGGGATAAAAGTATATGCACCATTTGGTATCCTATCTTTTTTTTTTGGCTGGAGTTTTTTTTTTTTTTTTTTTTTTTGCGATACGCAGGTCTCTCACTGTTGTGGCCTCTCCCGTTGCGGAGCACAGGCTCCGGACGCACAGGCTCAGCGGCCATGGCTCACGGGCCCAGCCGCTCCGCGGCATGTGGGATCTTCCCAGACCGGGGCACGAACCCGCGTCCCCCGCATCGGCAGGCGGACTCTCAACCACTGCGCCACCAGGGAAGCCCTTGGCTGGAGTTTTTAATAAAACTTTTCATTTAATATAATTATATCTGTATCATTTTGCATATTATTGGTTCTTTGTAAACACAACTTGCAGTGGCTGCAAATATTCCACTGAATGCACAGACTACTTAACCATTCCTCTATAAAGTGAATATTCAAATTGATTACAATTTTTTTGCTATTTTTAATAATACCACAATAAAAATCATGTAACATGAGTTATGAGGCACCCCACGCTCATCCAAAGGTTAGGCCTCATGTATTTTTTAAATAATGTTGTTAAAAAGTGGTTATGGTAGTGACACCTACTTGGCAAAGTTGGCCAGGTTCTGGATGACCTTGGCAATGAGAGTTAGAGTCCGAGATGTGCGGTCATCAGGATATTCCTGCATGAGGTTGAAGAGACTGGGAGACATGATGGCTGGGCACAGAAAACGGAGAAACAACGAGGCACTGATGAGCCGCTCGCTGATGTCTTGCTTGCTGCGGTTCAGGCACTGCTGCTTCCAGGATGCAAACACTTCTTTCAACTCACGAGGGAAAACACTGGGGAAGGAAGAAGGACCAAATATAAAAGTACCATAACCCAAGGAAGCACAGGTGATCCCACTCTGGCCCAATAGAGCCAGGCTATGAGGAGGGCCTAACAGAGAGAGCTTCTGTCTGATTCATGCCTGAGAAGTGGTGGAAAATTCATAGACGTCCAGATGGAGACCAGAAACCCAAAGCTACAAAACTCAGGAATTAGTGTAAACTTAGTTTTGCAAAGTGGGAAAATGGCATGAGGCTCCTGACTAAACCATTTGGTTTACTACAGCTCATCATAATCTCTCTAAAGACTGTTCATCAAAAAGCTTCCAAAATCTCACCAATTGCTGGGGTTAGAATAATGATCAAAAATCATTAACACATTTGTTTGACACTAGTAAATATGTTTAAAAGTCCTCAAAATACTTTTGGTATTCGAGGATGTAGTGCTAATATTCTGGGGAAATATTATATTTATGTGGATAGTTCAGAGCAACTTCTGCTTACAAGAGAGGTTTAGATTTTAGACAAAACTGTATTAGGGAAACTTTCAATTTTTCCCGTAAGTCCTTCCTTTGGTTGGGAAATAACAGTTAACACTGTGATAACTCATATTGAAAAACTGAAGTTCCAATAGCAGGGAGTGAAGCACCGACAGCAGCTCACCAGTAAGAGTTGATGATCTTGCAGAAAGCCAGCTCACAGCACATTTTCAGGTTGCTCTGATGGTCTATCAGTTCACTAGATGAACATTTGCTGGGATCCACTTCACAGTTTTCATCTGACTCATACAAAGCTTTGATGAACTCCCCTATTTCGAGAGAGAAGATGACGGACAGTATAACTAAATAGTGTCTTCCTGAAGAGAATAAAAGAATGTAGGATTTCTGTACTAAAATGTGTAATGGGGAATTCGTTCTGATGCCTGACATGGAGGGCACAAAACACTGTTCACGAAGGGTTATTGCTCTGGAACCCAAGAGATACCACCTCCTATACGTCATGTTTATTTTCCTTACTCTGGAAGTGGAAAAACAGCACTCATTAACATCATCATCATGGTATTTACAAAAAGAATAATGAAACTACTTTAAAAAATGCTACAACTTTAAATCTTTTATCTGAAATCACAAATATATTTAAATAGCAGGAACTCATTACTTATTATAAAGCCTCTTTACCTTATGAATAATGTTGTTACTATTTTAGAAGAATAAATAACCCAAGTTTGAATGATTAGCTTACCTATGCTTTTAACTGCTAATACTGGTGCAAACACAGATTCAAGTAAGGGTCTCTAGGCTTACCTCTCCTAATGGGGATAGTCATTCGACATAGCACATAGCAGAGCATCTCTTTATATAATTTGGATGTTTTTCCAAATAAATTTAGCTTAGACGCCCTGTTCATATATCTTAGCCTCTATAGAGATATGCCCAGTATTTCCTGAAAGAGCAAATCCTTACCTTACCTGTTTATCACCTGTTTATCCTCCACCATGCACTATACCATGTATTTGTTCTGTTCTATGTTTCACACTGTTTTGTGCTTATTTGTTCACATGCCTGTCTCATCTTTAGGATGAATACCATTGAAGGTCAGGGACTGGGTTCTATTCATGTTCAAATCCCAAGCCTATTAAATAGCTTCCAAAGCATTGCAGGGGCTCAATAAATATTTGTTAGAGATGGTAGTATGTTTTTATTTTTTGTTTTTTATAGGTCTTTATGACAGAGGAGTAGAACTTTCACAGCTCCTTTCAAATCTGCTTATATTAACTGAAGTTCAGGCTAGTTATTAATAGATTTCATGAAAGTGAACAGTAATTCCTATAAAAAATTAAGTGGCAGCAGCAATATCAAAGAGTATTTTCTATCAAAATGGTTAGTACTAGGATAAATGAAAGATTTAAAAAATAGCTGTGATACAGGAATGGGAACTGATTATTTGGAAGAACAATGCTTGGAGAAGAGGAATCTAAGTGATGCACAGAAAAGAAAGTGGTGCAGAGAAAAAGTAAAGGCTTTGGAGTCAGAAAGATCTAGGGTCAAATCCTGGACCCATCACTTAACCAACTGTGGGGCCATGAGAAGTCACTTAACTAGTCTGAGTTTTGGGTGCTTTATTTGGAAAATAGCATTAATCACTCCAACCCTCTAGAGCTATGGTGAGGATCTGAAAATAGTGCATGAAAAGAAAAGTGTCTGATATGGTGCCTGGTACTTAGTAGGGGCTCCATATAATAAGTATTGTTATGTACAAACCTTGTAAATTTAGAATAACTTTTCATAGAGTGAAATAACCAAAACTGGTAAAAGCCTTTTAAAAATGTTTACCAACTCTCACAGGATTTCTATTGAACATGTTCTCAACATCACCTATGCTATGTGCTCCCACAGAATTTACCTCATTTAAAGAGTACCTGAATTTAAAAATAAGTCATCAATGTCAAATACTTCATGTAAAAATCAATCCACCTCTAAATTTATATCATTAATATTCAGCTTATACCTAGGTGAGTTATACCTATTCCAGGAGATAATAACTAATATTAATAAATAACTTGTGAATTTTGAGAGTATTTTTCTTTTATTCTTCAAGAAAAGAACCAAATAAACAACTCAAGGGTCCAGAAGTAAATTAATTGTCTAAAGTTTTTTATTTTTACCTGATTATGATATATTTAAAATCCTCCAAACTTGAGAAAATTCTTTTCACTTTTGAAACTGTAACCTGGGACTTTCCTGGTGGCGCAGTGGCTAAGAATCCACCTGCCAATGCAGGAGACACAGGTTTGAGCCCTGGTCCGGGAAGATCCCACATGCATGGAGCAACTAAGCCTGTGTGCCACAGCTACTGAGCCTACACTCTAGAGCCTGAAAGCCACAACTACTGAGCCCATGCGCCTAGAGCCCATGCTTCGCAACAAGAGAAGCCACCACAATGAAAAGCCCGCGTGCCGCAACGAAGAGTAGCCCCCCACCCCCGACTCGCCGCAAGCACAGCAATGAAGACCCAACGCAGCCAAAAATAAATAAATTAAAAAAAAGAAGAACTGTAACCTATGTCTGATAGTGTGGAAAGTACCACATTGAAAGGTGAACTTTTATAGATCTGCACCTAGAAGCTGTTTAGCCGATCACAACTTACTGAGACAGATTTAATGATCCCTTCATGTCTGCTCTCCTGCCTTTAAAAAAAGAGATCAAGGACAAAGAGGATGGGTGTTCAATATGTTGTTTAAATTTGAGTTTGTGCCTAGAATGTTCTATGGTGTGTTTCATTAACTCATTATTATCTAGCATCCAAATTTCACGTATAGAAATAAGCCACTAGGTACGGACATACTATTGCTAAAAGGAAATTTGCCTCTGCCACCAGTGGTGGAAATTAGGCCTTTTTAGAGGCCCTCTAATTAGAGGGCCTCTAATTAGGCCCTCTAATTTAGAGGCCTTCTACATGTCACAGAAGATGGTGTTTCCTGTTGATCAGATGCATCAACATGCAAACTGATTTCAATGAGAAAGGTAAAAGGGGTTAACAGATGAAAGACTTAATTTAAGTCTAACTGAGGCAGAGTCTGTAAATAGTAATGCTTTTAATCAAGATAAACGAAGACTGGCTAAAAGGCAGGTAGATATTGTTTAATATGACTGGCAACTTTTAACTCAATTTTCTCTGAGAATTCTTCAGGTAGTCTGCAAATAACATCTATTTTTTTTTTTTTTTGCCCAAAGTATACGAAATACAACAAAACTTTAATTATTCAGAGTGCTCAGCTGTACTTATTAATTTGATTTTTTGGTTCACTGAGACTTCACTGTGAAGCCTTCTAATTTAAAACTTCTGATAGGGACTTCCCTGGTGGTGAAGTGGTTAAGAATCCACCTGCCAATGCAGGGGACATGGGTTTGAGCCCTGGCCCGGGAAGATCCCACATGCCGCGGAGCAACTAAGCCCGTGCGCCACAACTGCTGAGCCTGCGCTCTAGAGTCTCCAAGCCACAACTACTGAGCCCTCATTCCACAACTACTGAAGCCCATGTGCCTAGAGCCCGTGCTCTGCAACAAGAGAAGCCACCGCAATGAGAAGCCCGCGTACCACAACGAAGACCCAGTGCAGCCAAAAATAAATAAATAAAATAAATTTATATATATAAAAAAAAGGCTAACTAGAAATATGGGGAGTTGGATGGGGAGAAGACAGTAGAATCTCTTTCCTGAAGAAGCTTACCAATTAATTTTGTTTGTGCTCTTGGAAGCAGTAGCCATTTTCACCACCCTGGTCCTTGCTTTTGGGTTACAAATATAATAGAGATCTTTGTGGGGTTACTTGAATTTCTTCCCCTGCTCACTGAATCAATTTTCAGGTCTCATTGAGCCAATCAGCTATTTAACTATTAACTGTTCTAGGACAGTTAATAATTAACTGTAATGATTAACAAAGGACTTGTCTCTCCTTTTCACTTCAGGAATTATTTCATTTGGGAAGCCTATTTAGCACACTGATGGTAGAATATGAATATCTGATTTTTAAGAAGTAGATGGTCAACAAACATCTACACCTTTATCTCCCCAGAATAGAGAATACTGTTTGAGATGCATCATCATTGCTTTTTATAAGGCAGTGCAAATCATTAGAGCAAACCACGATATGTAATTTATGATATGACTGTACAAGCTTTTTATGTGAAACTCTGATTCTGTACCTTTCCTAATGTCAATGAAAATCCATTTTCACTAGTCTTCTTTTAAATTCCTATTAGATCTTAAACTAAAGCACATGACTTAGAGAAAAGAAATAAATATGAAGATAGGAAGCAGGAGAAGAAAAAATGTACTTCTCCAAAGTAGGAATTAACTGCTACTACAGTGAGTCCAGCATAGGTAAACACAACGGTCCTGTTTCTTGAGCAGTCATTCACTTTTTAGCCTGTGCAACCTGGCTCCTGTGCTCCTGAGAGCAGTCCCAGCCATCACGAGTCATCAAAATGCAATAGCCATGTTTTCTTTTTAATCTTTACTTTCCTCAATCTCTGACTCTATTGATACTTTTTTCCTCTTGGTGTCTAAGACACAGTATTTTCCTTCTTTTTTTTGCACGTGTGCATGCATGCTTCCTCTCTCTTTGACCACTTCCCTGATTCCTCTGCTTCCTTCTACACCATAAACCAGGTGCACTGTTAGATCTGTCTTTGGCCCTATCCTCTTCCTGCTCCTGTAATCTTGTAGTTTCATTGATTCCCTCCACATGGGTAACTTAGTCCTAAATTTTCACCAGCCAGCTAGACAGATGTCTTGGGATTTCCTACCTAGAACCCCTGGGATTTCCTACTTGAACTTCAAGTTGAATACATGTGAAGTGAAAATATCATTTCTCATTCTTTCAAGCCCACTACTTTTATGTTCTCATTCTGTTAAGAATCTCATCATCCTTCTTGTCACTCAGGAAGGCCCCAAATTCACTGTAATATTTGATCTCCTCCACCACGCCCTGCCCCATTCTCACAAACTGAAAAGTTGCCAAGTCCTATTAGCTCAACTTCTTTAATATTTCTTAGATCCAACTTTTCTCTTACTCTTGGCGATTACCTCATTCACAGTCTTGTTATTTCTTGCCTTCCTTATTATAATGGCTTCTTAACTGCTCTCTGCGTTCAGCTGCTTTCTTCACCAACCCATTTAAATCACTCTGTTAAACTGATTCTATTAAAAACACCCTGCTCAAAACTTCCAGTCGTTCACCAGTGATTACTGTAAAATCTACACTCCTCAGCCAGGCAGTCAAGGCCCTCAACTAATTGGTTCTAGTTATTTGTCTAATCATTTTTGTTGTTGTTGACTTGTCTTTTTCACTTTATTTTCCAGCTAATTGGCTATATTCCAAACATGCCTGGTTCTCTGGTACCTCGATACCTTTTTGTTCATGAGGTTCTTTCCCCTATGTTAATCCCTGCCATTTCCCTTGTCCAATCTCTGCTTTTATAAACCTTGCTAAACTTCGAGCTACACACACACATCATAAATGTCACAAGGGAAATTTTACAATTCCATCAGGTATAATCAATTTCTTTAATTATTTGAAAAGGCACAGGATTCTCTTTCTCTTTTTGGTTATAGGGATATCCTTATCTTTCTTACCTATCTATATTGTAAGCTCTCTAAGGGCAAACATTTATCCATTCATTCATACCTTATTGTCTATTCTTGATAGTCTCATGTGACTGCTGAGCACTTGAAATTTGGCTAGTGCAAACTGAACGTGTAATAAATATAAAATGCACACAATTTCAAGAGTTAGGATAAAAAAGTAAAATACTTCATTAATAATTCTTATATTGATAACATATTAAGTAATATTTGGATATACTGGGTTAAATAAAATGTTATCAAAATTAAATTTACCTGTTTCTCTTTACCGTTTTTACACTGTGACTGCTAGAAAATTTAAATTACTCACATGTGACTCACATTATGTTTCTTTAGGATGGTGCCGCTCTACATTCTATATGAAGTACTGGGGATATGGGGATAAAAAAAATGACACTGTTCTTCAAGGAACTCATGTCTGCTTTATCAGAATGTATATCAAAGTGTCGAGCACAGTGCCTTACTCCAGTGGTTAACACCTGAATTTCACGACCAAATATGGAGCTGCAAGTGGGTGGCCTAGTCATTAAGAACTACTGATTGGACAAAGATTAGTTGTGAAAAATTCTGTAGGTCTGGAAGGCAGAAATTGGGAGTTATGGGAATTGGAAGGAGTTTCTCCATTTTTGATGCATAATAACAAATGCTAACACTTTCAAGACTTAGGTAATGTATTTATATCATGATATAAATACCCAACACTTTGGGGGAGACAAGTCAACTAGAAATGACATCTCATTACTAACATTACTGTGTATCTCAGAATCTCAGGGACTTGAGGGCATGGGGGTAGCTGCCTATGCTGATGAACTTTCTCTTTCGGTACATAGTGTAAGAAATCAATCTGCTGTTCCTCCCCTGCTGAGTATTGCAGAGACTTCTTACAGCTGAAACTCCAACTTTCACACTTTAATCAGCTAGAACCAGATAACATGCAGAATTTGAGTTCCATTTGGTTGTTTCATGAGGGTCTAAAAATCAAAAGGGAAAGAAAACAGATGTTTTTCTTCTCCATACCCAATGCATCATGAAGATACTGTTGTCCCACCAACTTGAGGTATTCCTCAATGGATTTGGTGGCAATGGTGTTCTCTCTGAAGATCAAGACATCATGCTCTCCACAACGATCCACCTCAGACATCACCAAGTCAGTCAGAAAATCCTGGTAGAATAATGTTCAGTTAGGCAGAAAGCAACTGAATAAATAATATACATTAGGAGAGACTGATGAAATATCAAACATCCTGGGAATGCTGCTTTAAAACTAAAGCTACCAGATTCATTTGAAAGAAAAAAGTCAGTCAGGATAAAATTTTAGGTGTCACCAATCCTAAGTTAAAAATTCCTTCAAAGGTTTTTCATCGCACTTTTGATATAGACTGTAGTTCTGAATGTGGCCTGCAAGTCTCTATATTTTCTGCTTTCTGTCTATCTTCCCAGCCTCATCTCATACCATTCTCTCTGTATTGCTCCAGTCTCAAGGGCCTTTTTTTTTCGGTAGGTCCTTGAATACATCAAGCCCTTTCTAATAACAATGTTGTCTATTCACCACAGAGCTTTCTGCAAATGCTGTTCTCAGTTCTGCTTCACTCCCACCCTTGCTCAGCCCTCACTGCTATGGAGTTAATTCCTCAGATCCTTTGGATTTTAGTTTGCACATCTTTCTTCAGTGAAGCCTTCTCTTACCAACACTGCCCCTGAACTCCACTAGTCAGGTCCCCTTAATACACATTCTCACAGCACAATATAACTTTTTAAAAATCTGCACTTTTCGCAGTAATCACACATTTCCGTAATTATTTGATTAACATCTGTTTTCCCCAGAAGACTGTGAGTCCCATGAGACCAAAGACAGTGTCTATTTTTATTCACCTCTATATTTCCAGCATTTAACTGCTTCTGACACATATTAGGCATTCAATATATAATTGTTACAAATTGGTCTATAGTATCAACATGACATTTCTTGAACTAAACATCTGAACTCATTTTCTAGGCTGATTATATCTGTTTGTATGTATGTATGTATGTATCCCCATCCATCCATCCATCCATCCATCCATCCATCCATCCATCCATCCATCCATCCATCTATCCATCCATCCAACCATCCATAGTGAACGAAGGCATAAGGAGAAATAAAGCCCTTAAGAAACAACTGCTTCATTTCTCATCAGTCTAAGGAACTTGATTTAAAGTTCATTGTTTACTGTTCAATTTGAAAACATCCTGTATTTTGAATGTTATATATTCACTGGATATTTCAAAGTTGTTGATTTACTTTTATTTTAAAATTAAGCATTTTAAACATGAATGGGATTTATTCCAGGGTAGATCAACACTGTAAAAGAGTCGTAGACTTAGGAGTCACTACTAAAACTCTTGTGCTAAGGGTCAGGAAGAAACTTGGGGGTGATGGTAACATTCTGTATCTTGACTGCTGTGGTTTCCACGGGTGCATAATCTGTCAAAACTCACTGAGTTTTTCACTTTAAATGGGTATAGTTTATGATATGTAAATTGTACCTCAATAAAGCTGTTAAAAAATCCTACATATATCCTTGAACCTTGAGCAAATGAAGAACAGAAAGAACATATCCATACAATTTCAAAGATGAGACTCAAAATTTCAATGACACATTTTTAACACCAGAAAGCTCAAAATTATTATTAGTAAATTCAACCACCAAAATGATAATCAGTAGGAAGGCAGTTAAATAAGGGACTAAATATTGAATATTTGATATATTCTGATTTGTATCAAGAAATTTTAAAAACGCTTTATTTTATTGTTCAGTTCTACATAAATTATTCTAGCTGTGAACTCCTCTAGATCTAAAATACAATTTTACCATGACCAATTTGCATATAATATAACGGAGATTTAGCCTAGTTAAGTGAATATGCCTCACAGAGGTGATAATTACCACAGTTCAGGCTGATCAAAGACTCTATCAATTGTTACATCTGAAACTAACACATTGTAAATCAACTATACTCCAATAAAAATTAAAAAAAAGATTCTATCATTTGTTTAGTGTTCTTTATACAATTAGTATATTTCTTTCTTTTATCTTCCTGAACTTTTACTTCTATCCAGCATGAATTGAGATAAGGTTATCATGAGACAGCTAACAATTAAATAACATCCCTTGGTATTTTAATTCCAAATTTAGATGTTAATCTCATGAAGACTCTTGTTAATGACCAGCATGTTTCTGGAATACCTCCTTCTGTGACTAGCTGGGTACAGTCATGAGTTAATCTTAATTTAAAATATAGTGAGGAATAAAACCATCATACAATGCACTCCAGAACTAAAGATAAATAATCTTGAACATATTGTGGGATTATCCACCAATCCTACCACTTATTTTGTCAGACAATAAAGAGCTAGCTGCGGTATCTCTATTTCATGCAAATAAACTTTAAATAAATACTTGTTAGTCTCCATTTTACTTCTTTACTTTTATAATCTCCACTAATAAGTGGATCTAAGAACCACTAATAGGTTTCCTTCCTAATTCTTTTTTTTTTTGACCAATAGCAAAGCATATATCTCTAATTTGAATCTCCACAGTAAACATGTGTTTTTTCTTCATAAAAGGTAGGGAAGAGATTTTGGGTAACGCAACCCTCCTTTTCCACTTACCTTGGCTCTGCCAGTACTTTGAAGAATGTGCACTAAGGCACAGGCCAACTCTTCTTTATTTCTCACACTAATTACTGGTTCAAGAACAGAACACAACATGGTGTAGTTGCTGGTGACAAATTCTGCAAATTCTTTGTATTGCTCCATAGGCAGAATGGTGATAGTTTGGAAACGTGATTTAATCCGAATAGAAGGTCCTCCTGTCTTTCCTTTGTTGGGTGTAGGTGTACTCACTGGGTACCACTTTTCTACAAATTGGCGACCAGTCACACTGGCAGTAGGGATATTGACTAGCCCTACATAATTATTCTTGTCTTTTTTTTTCTTTTTTTCCACATCTTTATAAATGTGAACTGTGATGCTATGAAGAGGTGGAAGGCTGTAGAACTCAAAATGTTCACCCCAGAAAATATTGTCTGCTTTGGTCTTGCTAGTTGTACGAGCAAAGAGGGTATCATCAAGGCACAGTTCACAGAAATATTTCTTTTTAGGGGCAAGGTCCTTGGCTTCAATAATCCATAAACGGAGAACGTTTTCGGCTCGTCTGCAATTGTCCTATAAAGAAGTAACAAAGTTGTGTTTGAGAGTTGAAATCCCAGAAAGACAACATTTTCCTCTTAAAGTAGGTGATGCTATGTACTTCATTAAGGGCAGTCAAAAAATAATGAAGGGGATTGCTACCTCATTGTTCAAGATAATAGAAAGCTCTTAGAGAGCCACATACATTTTATTTTACTTGGGTTAAAAAAATATCATCCTGTAAGTTCTCATATAGCCAGTCTTGTGGCAACTGAATTAGCTTTCTGCAAATAAAACAGAGATAAGTAAGTAATTAAGAAACTTGTGTTCTAGTCCCATTTCTGTCTTGTACTAGCCTCTCACTTGGTCAAGTGACTTAACTTCTCTGAGTCCTCTTATCTAGGGGTCCCCAAACCCCAGGCCATGGACTGGTACTGGTCCGTGGCTTGTTAGGAACTGGGCCACACAGCAGGAGGTGAGCCAGTGGGCGAGCGAGCGAAGCTTCCTCTGTATTTACAGCCGCTCCTCATCGCTCACACAACAGCCTGAACTCCGCCTCCTATCAGCATTATGGTGAGTTGTATAATTATTTCACTATATATTACAATGTAATAATAATAGAAATACAGTACACAATAAATGTAATGCACTTTAATCATCCCAAACCACCCCCCGCCCCCCGCCGTCCGTGGAAAAATTGTCTTCCATGAGACTGGTCCCTGGTGCCAAAAAGGTTGGGGACCGCTGCTCTTATCCACACTGGTAAAATCATGATACTATCTGTAAGAAGATTATTTTGAGCATAAAAGGACAAAACGTATATGTGTTTAAAAGTTCTATAAAATTTAAGGTATTATTACTTTATTTACCTTCAATCAACTTACTGCTTATAGAGTTATACATTTTTTGGACATTCAAAGCCACTATTACCTTATTTGGTTGAACTGTCCTGCGAAGGTTTTCCATCCACTTATCTCTCTCTGAAGCAGAGTTACAGCTGAAGCATTTACTTCCACTTAAGTAGGTAACCTTCAACATAAAGATTAGAGATAAGGAAAAGGAAATGCAGGGCTTGGGGTCTCTATCTTCCTAGTTGTATCATGAAAGATTTAGAGATATGCTATGAACCCATATTATACTACATGGTAACCAAAATTATATTTGCTGGTTTTATGATATCTATATGTACATCCACATTCACTTTTTGTTTTGTTATCTAGTTAGCATCTACTAGAATGCAGGTATGAAGACAAAGGCCATTGAGAATTCAGCTCAGGAACCTAAAACTGGCCTACAGTTCAGAAAGAACAAAACTAAAAATCTTTAACTAAACTTAAACCTTTAAAAATTACCTGCAAATAAATATGCTCAATTCTGAGTTAATAAAAATAACTAAAAAGGGAAGAAGGTCTCTAAAACAGCTTATTTCTTGGGACTGCCTTCATTATGTTACAGAAGGTTACTACGTGAAACTGAAAAGAGTTACCAGTATTGAATTACTTTGGAACCCATTTCTCTTCTACTAGGCAACCAGTCTGATTGCCAATCATCTAATTAGGTTAGCCTGATGATTATTATCAATGTCCTTTAAAAATGAAGCATGTTGTCTCTATGCCTAGAACCTAACACCTGGCTGGGCATACAATCCGTTGAACTGAGTTCTACAAATATGGCAAAGTTCAAGTGACTTTTATACAAAAGAACACCAATAAATGACCTGTCCAAATTGCTAAAGTGGTTCACATATTAACTCAATCTCAGATTATAACCTAGTGAATCAGATCAGATGTTACATTCTGTCTAATATGGTAGCTATTAACCACATGTGGCTAGTGAGCATGTGAAATACTAGTCCAAACTGAGATGTACTGTAAGTGTAAAATATACATCAGGTTTTGAAGATTCAGTTTTTAAAAAAAGAATGTAGAAAGTTTCATTGATAATTTTTAGTTCCATGTTAGAAGTGGTAGGATTTGGGTTTAATAAAATTTAAAATTACACATGTGGCTTGCACTGTATTTCTGTTGGATAGTGCAGGTCCATAAGAAAAGGTATAAAACATCTTTCAACTTCTACAATATCTAACATAGGACTCATCACTAATAACTTTGTAAGTTTGTGCTCATTAATTAAATCATAACCCTAACAAGTATATGGATGGTTTTGAAATTAAATTTGCAAATGGCCAATTGGTCATTTACTTTGGGAGGGGGAAATTACCTTATAAAAGGTGATGATGATAATTTTCTGGTGAAGGGCAATTTGTTCACTGAAGAAATTAGGCACCTGCAATGTGCCAGGGACTGGGCTAAGTGCTGGGGATTACAAAGATAGATAAGACATGGTCCCAGATCTTGAACTGCCCATGTTTTAGTTAGAAAAATTATGGTTTTAGTCAATTTCCTCAAAAGGATCATTAAAATTGGGGGGTTTGGCTTTCAGGAGAAAAATAATAACATATTGTGTGATATCTTTATCAATACTAAAAAATTAAAATACTAACAATAAGTTATTATTAATCTTGTGACCTCTGCTGAGAATGCACTAAGAACCCATTTATTTATTTATTTATTTTAAATTGGGGTATAGTTGTTTTACAATGTTGTGTTAGTTTCTGCTGTACAGCGAAGTGAATCAGCTATATGTATACATATATCCTCTCTTTTTTTGATTTCCTTCCCATTTAGGTCACCACAGAGCATTGAGTAGAAGAACTCATTTATTTTGAAAGCAGACAAGCCCAAAAGGAATGAGAAGCCATCATTAATAACTTTAATCACCAACATAATCAGATTAGCAGATTTCCAATTTTTCCCCTGTAAGTAGGTAATTTTCAGCAACTGAAAACCAGTTAAGATGATCAAATCATCAATACAGTAATGCGATCATAGGAATACTGGATAGAAAAATCTCTTTGTTGTCTAACTACTCTTCCTTTTTCCTACACTTTTCTACCTCAAAGCAGAAGTCTTGTCCAAGGATGCTGCTATGGAGTGGCTTCACTGATACGGGCTCCCCTCTACCAAGATCCAGACATTCCACTGCACTGCATGGGCTCAGCAGGGATTCATGGGAACGTGACTCTTTTAGTTTAGGCAGCCCACGAGACCTAAAAGTAGAAAGAGATATTTATGGTAGTGTAATTACTTGGCCAACAAGAAAATAAAGGTCAAATGCAATGGAGGCTTAACCAAATGTATAAATGCCTAAGAGGAAAATAAATGAGCAAATTAACAGTTAATGTGTAACAATAATAATAGGACCATATTCATGTGGCACAGATAAGCCACATACATATTTGTGTCTGTGTGTACACACTTACTTTTTTCAACAAAACACAAAAATGTACTATAATTTTACTAGTCTCAAGGGAGCTTGAAGCTCCACCACAGACACTGTTTTTATCCACATTCCTGTGTTGGAGATGGAGAAATATATATCATCTAAGGTTATCTTACACATTTTTTTTATGCAAAGGTGTTATCAAAAGACATATCGTTTCTTTTACTTTTTTTTTTTTTCCATGCTATAGCTTTATCCTCTATTATCAGTGACAAAATAGCAGTGACTGAACCCTCATTCTGTTTCCTTCTGCTTTGGCAGAATAAACATACATACACAAACCCAGAATCAAAGCCAAACTTTTCAGCACAAGACCCTGCTTTTCCAAAGGCCTGATTTCCATCTCTATATGGAATTCTTTTCTGGCAAGCTTTTGGTTCTATCTATGCTTTACTGTACAAATATGAATAAAGAGTAAAATGCCTTGAAGAAACTTCCCACCCTCAAAAGAAATGTTCAAACTAGAAGAACAGACCTTTGTCAACACTGTTCAGGCATTCTGGTTGATTCTGTCCCCTAGTTGTTTAAAAAGGAATGTGGGGAAGCCATGACTCTTGTCACTACAGGAGCTAGTACTTCACTGCCTTCCCCTTGGAAGAATCAATGAAGCCAAACAATATAAAACACAATATTCTTGAATCCAGAACTGGGTAGCTATGCAGTTTTACTCAATAATTATAGTATTTATTGACTGAAACACCCAGAGTTAAATACATATATTTCAAGCAGAAGTACCTAGTAATGGGGATAAAAAGAAATGCCTTGTGGAAAGACATTTGTTTTTGTAAAACACATTAAATAAGCAGCTTCATTCATTCCTTGAAATAACCATGTTAACTTAAAAAGGAACCAAAATACTTAATGCCAGAGTAGCTTTCAGTTAAATTATAAAGTAATGAGATATAGGAGACTAGCACGAAAGGCTGCTCTTTCCCTTCTGTTTCCATTCTAACGCTGTTTAATCAAACTCCATATAGTAAAAAACATCTTAAGCAATAGGACCTTAGTCCATTCTTCTTTCCACACACAAAAATGTGTGTTCTAATGTTCAGCAATCTTTTTATGGTCAAAAATTCAATAATTATATTTACCATTGATAATACAAAGGATGCACAAAAGCCACCTAATGTTTTGTACCTAAAAATATAACAATGTAATGGCTCCACATTTATTTCCTTTTGTTCTACTGGATAAGACAATGACATGTTATATACTGTCAACAGAGCATATCAACTATAAATAACTAAATGCAAAAACAAATTTTAATGTAATTACCATACAAACTTTCCCAATATGCTTCATAGGAAGCCTGGTTGAGGCAACAGGATACTGTAATCTTTTCTAAACACATGAAACAACAGTTCCAGCCCGTTTTTCCCAGGAGGAGTTGCTTGTAGGGGAAAAGGCTATCCTGCTCTGGGAGTGAGCCTCTCAACAGGGAAGATGAAGGCATATTTAAAATAGGAGGTACAAATATAAGGCTTACTTTTTTGTTTTAAATTCTTTAGGAAAATATTCTAAAACATAAATTAATTTTATCTCAAACCAAATAAATGTCTACCTACATGAAGCAACTGTACAGCCATCTTGCAGTGCACCCCAAAATCATAGCGGTGCCACATGTCATGATACAGCAAATCACTTTCTGAACTACATCTCAGAAAACAACTCTGTGTTTAGAAGACAAGAACCAATAGAAGATGGTTTCCCCTGCTGTCTTTAGTTACTGATAACATCTCTGGATAAATGTTTTCCAGGTGTAATTTCAAGTCTTCAGTAGAAGCAGAACAGAAACACATATTACAGAACATGAAGTCATCTTCCAAATAGGCTGCAGGACAGGTAATATTCTTCTTCTCTTCCTCAGGCTGCATCCAGCCCCTCAGGTAACAGAAACAAGGTTCCTGGGTTCTAGGCTGGGCCTGTTGCCATGGTGCTACACCTATAAGGAGATTAGAGCCAAAGGCAGCTGGGAGAAGCTGCAGCTTGAAGGACTCAAGGAGCATGCTCTGCAAATGTAACCATTTTAAGACAGAAAGGAAAGAATAGCGAGGCTCCACCCATTTCCATGAACAATTTTGGAGTCAAAAGCTGTAGGAAAAAAACTGAGGCAACTCTGGGGGTGGAGGAGAATCTCTTAACTGTGCTAGAGAACGAAGCTGCGAAGCTTTAGATGTTTCCTAGATGATCCCCAGCCCGCTACTAAAAGGTATTTGCCACATCCCACCTTGCAAGTACAATCTTTCTCTCACATCCGTTTTATTTCCTTTGCAGTTCTTATCCTAGTTTAATGTTTCTAGGTACTATTTTCATTAACTTATCTGAGTTACATTTTTTTTTCTTTTGGAGAGAGTTGGATAATTTTATTCACTGTATTTCCAGTGCTGAACAAATGTCATTTTGACATTTGTTGATATCTGTTTATGGCTGTATCTGGAAGGTTTAACTTCCAAATACAGCCATAAACAGATATCATAACCAAGCCACCTGGAATTAGAATTCAAAATTCTTCCTGGTTACAGAAATTTCAGCTGTTAATATGTATAGTCAGGGTCTCCTATTGTTCAGCATTTATGTATGTTTGTGTGTATATACACACCTACGCCCATGAACTGAACACCAAAGTTGCTAATATGTGCAACATTGCTAATGAATAAATAAGCAAGCCCTTCCAGTATTGAGAAGAAAGTGTCTGGAGAAGACAGAAGTAATTCCCAGAGAAGCAGGATTACAGTAAACAGGAAGATCAAGCAGCCTGGGAGTGGCAGCGGTGGGGAGGCATTATCTGTGCAAATATTTCTATATAATAGCATTAGTAAGCCCAAGTCCCCTCTAAGCATGTTTACCTCCTCCTGTACCTTCCTATGAGTTGATTTTTCTTAGATCTGCTAATTAGAGTTTTAGCAGCTCTGTATGGCACTACAGTTTACTTCTCTAATGGAAAGCGGAATGTGGATTTATTGAGAGAAAAACAGGAGTTTAAAACGACGCTTCCCAGTCCAATCTGACAATGGCCATCAAGGAACCTAACCGCAAAAGTGGACGTTGTGAATCCCTTGACTACTGGTTCTCTTCCCAACCCCTGCACCCCTACTCCCCAACCCCCATCATCCCAAACACCATGGAATAATTCAGGGCTCAATGTGATAGTTAAGGGTTAAAAATCTAATTGCTTTGCTGATGAAGATTACCTGCTGCTTCTGACCTATTTAAGAGAGAAACTACAAGGCAGGAATAGCTTTCTATTACCCACTACAGTGAATTAATATTATATTGCTTTAACCCACATCACTATCTGAAATCAATCTTACAAGACAAAAGTGAAGGGGTTGGGGGTGAGGAGCCAACACACACACCACTGGATTCACTGAAGAAAAAAAGGAGTCAAAGAACTCTGATTAGTGCAATGTTAAGTAAAACAGCTGGATTTTTCCCAGCTCAACCATCCAATTTTTTAAAAAGCATACTTCCCCCAAAGCACCAGTGGTGCTTGGATGTGCTAGCTCAACCTGCCACATCTTTACAGATTCAGTTCCAAATGTGGGAAACTTTTAATTAAAAATATAACTGAAAAAAATGCTTATTGCCACACAAAATCCTGTACTCCAGTGCAGGTGAATTTCTGCTTGGTGTGGCAGTTATGATTCTAGACTGCTTTGCTGAGTTCTTGGAAAGACAGCTCAGCCATAAACTGAGTACAGCAATATATGTTTGTATTCACCAGTATGTGTTCCTAAGGCACTTTACCTTGTTTGAAAATTTCCCAGGTAGAAATTAATAATATTCAGTATCCTAATACTCTACCAATAAACTTACAAAGGGTCTAATCAGTTTTTTAAAAGTTGCATCTGAGCTTTCACTTTGGGAAAAAGGCAGCTTTACTTGCTCCCCAGATTTTATTGTTTTTCAACCTCGTATCTGTGAAACTATCCAACTGATGTTTTCTGTTTGAAAGAGCAGATCCTTTCCTATAGTACTGAATATAAAGCTTTCCCTACCTGGATTAAAAAAAAAAAAAGAAAAGAAAGAAATTAGAGCTCATTCATCAGAGTTCTGCTTGTGTGCTAAAAAAAAATGGCCCTCGAGGATCCTGACAGCCCTAGCTGCACTGATTTACCTGCTGCAGTTAAAGCCAGTCCCTACTGCTTATACTACTCACTGGTTTTTATGTTTACTTAAAAAAATATCATACAACCACTCACACAAAAAGCTATGGGGCTTCCCTGGTGGCGCAGTGGTTGAGAGTCCGCCTGCCGATGCAGGGGACACGGGTTCATGCCCTGGTCTGGGAAGATCCCACATGCCGCGGAGCTGCTGGGCCCGTGAGCCATGGCCGCTGAGCCTGCGTGTCCGGAGCCTGTGCTCCGCAACAGGAGAGGCCACAACAGTGAGGCCCGCGTACCGCAAAAAAAAAAAAAAAAAAAATGCTATTATGGAAGCGTAACATGTACTGCTGATCTTCCTTCTCTCTGTTCTCAGCCTCTGTTCTGACAGGATAGTCTAATGAACCCAGCTGCTAATGGTAAAGAAGGATGTTTGTCAGTCTGAGTTTTCACTTAAACTCATGGTAAGGAAATTTATCATCACGGTCAAAAACGACATTCAACCTATTTTTGGTACATATACATGTATACAGACAATTAAGACAAGCACAGAATGAAGACAAGATTATAAATATTAAAACATGTTCTGAAGGGCAGAAAACTCAACCAGCCTCCAATATGACAGGCACTAGGGAACAATCTCCTTACAGAAACTGTACCATAT